ATCAGGAAACAAATGAGAACCAGGGGCATACCCCTTTGAAGGCGAAACAGATGGAGAGCCAGGGGCATTCCCCTTTGAAGATGGAAGTCGACCATAATCAGACACAAAAGAAATAGGAACAGAAAGAGAGTTAGAGGAAAGAGCGGACGCGTTAAGGCGAACCACTCGAAGCGCACTTTCGCGATTGTTACGACCATTCGAGAGTGCTGGACTCGAAAGATCGACGACTAGTTTTTTGCCTCGTCAGAGGCGTCGAGTTCGGCGTCGGGCACCTCGGCGATCGCCTGATGGGCCTTAGTTGCGTTGGAAGACGATTTTCGACAGTCCCTTGCCATGTGGCCAGGCTTGCCACAGAAGAGGCAGAGTTTGTTGTCGACTCGGCATTCACGCTCTTCAGGAGTGAGCTTACTGTCTTTCCCGAGTTTTGTCAAAAGGTCGGAGGTGAAGGAAGTAGGCTTAGCGCCAGATGGCTTGTCCTTAGGTGCTTTACTACCAGAGGCGGAAACGGAGGAAGGAAGAGATGACAAGGTCGAAGAGTTCTTGTTGCTGTCAGATTTGGTGGGCTTAGAGGATGACGGAGCGGAGGGAGAGGCAGCGTTGTTGTGGGAAGGTCATATGCTGTCTTGGTGGCGTTCCCAGTAATGGGTGTCAAGTTCTTGCGCAAGATCACGAAGATCCCACAACGAATCAGGCCTACCAGATCGATAGATCTCATCTTTAAGGCGATCAGGCAACCCATCATACAAAAGAGACTGAAGCGCACCTTCACCGTATCCGCGCAACTGTGAAGCGTAACGGTTGAACTCAACGATGTATTTACTAATCCTTTGGTTGTCCTTCATGACCAAGTTTTTTAGTTGATGCTCCACGTCGTGGGCGGGATTGTGTGAACCGAAGTTCTTGCAGAGTTCCTCAATAAAACGTTCCCAGTCGTCTTCCCAGGGAGGTGCTCGACCACCAGGCGTGCGTAAGAGATCGGGTTCGAACCAGTTGAGCGCGGAGCCCGTTAGGAACGACTGAGCATAGATAACCTTCTTACGGTCGGAGCTAAACGCCTGGGGACGATCCCGGAAATTTAGTTGACACTGAACTAGGAACGTACGGAGTTTCTTTTGGTCCAACCCATCAAACTGGTCAGGCTCACGCACCTTCGTGCGATAATTGTCGATCGAGGCAGTTGGCAGAGGTGGAGGTGGCGGAGGTGGCGGCTGACGAGGGACATTGGACTGGGTGAGAGCCGCAATGGCTCGAGTTAACTGGATCAAGATACTTGCCTCATCTTGCACGTTAGCAGGATCATCAGGGTCAGGGTTGTTACCAACAGGACCATCAGGAGGTGGGACAACTGGGTCAACTGGAGGTGGCGGCCTTGATGAAGATGGCGGAGGACGAGGTGTGGAAGGATCGGGAACTGCGGTGGCGTCGACATCGCCTTCCACTTCAGCCTCAGATCGGGACCTTGTAAAAACAGGCGTCGACGATCGTTGGCCTCCGCGGTCAGCTGTGAAGCTAGCAAAGGGTGTGTCGATGTCGAGGTCGTAGTCGTCAGGAATCCCGAGACCAGACTGGTGCTGTTGTGTGGAGGTGGATGGTTCGCGGGTCTGCGAACGAGTTACGTAGTTGTCAGGGACTCATCCAGGGTCGAGGGGGTCCGGGTATAACGTCCGGGACCGAGAGCCTGGCGGGGGGCGGATCGGGCGTGCATACTGACAGGCCCGATGTGGGACAGTGGTCCCTGGCCACTTAGACTGAAGTGGAAAGTTGTTATTATCATTAAAGGAGAGATATTGTACTGCTTACCTGAAGTGGAAAGTTGAGAAGAAGGCTACTTCTTCGGTTCCCACTTCAGGTTCGTTTATATACATGCGGCTTGGATCACATGACGGGTGCCACGTCACCCTCGCACACAGCCGTAACCACCCGGGTGTCTCCGTGGGAGATCCCGAGGGTATCCGGTGCAGGCGCGTGTGCTGGGCACAGCGGGAGGTCGCCCGAGGTGCCCGGGCCAGGTACATGGTGGGCGCGCTGCAGATGGGTCAGTTGTACATTGATACAGAGAAAGTCGTCCATGTAGAATAAAGGGAGAATAAAGAAGAAGTAAGATAAGGAGAAACTGAGGAGGGGAGGATGAGGGGGAAGAAGGGAAAGGGGGAGGAGGTAAGGGAGGGTGGACCGGCGGGGTACTGGGTCAGGTTGGGCTGGGTGAAGCCGGGTCAGGCGGGTGTGCCCTGACAGTAGTGTCTAGAAGCCATTTGAACGCGCAGTGAGTTCGAATATACTGTCAGAAACTGTATTCGTGGTGATTGCAGGAAGCGGAGCGGAGTACGGCGGCGTGAGTGGTCACTTAGCTAATGAACTACTCCGTTGCAAGGCGTCGTGGGGGTTGGGACTTCGGCTTCAACGACTTGGCTAGAGCGTTGCGCCACGCGTTCTAGGCTGTCCCGTATTTCACGTTAGCGGGAAGGACCTTGCAGCAACGTTGACTTGAGCGGGGATGAATTGAGAGGCAAACTTAAGACGAGAGTACTTGGGGGGGAATTCTAGTCAATATTCGAACTAAGGTACATCGACAGTAAGCTACAAGTATAAATAAGAAAGGAGAACAGAGAAGGGGCCGGTCGGTCCGGCGTGGGATGGGAGCGGGATGGTAAGTACGACAGAACTAAAAGAGCGATGAGGACCAGGGAAGTGGAACAGAAGAAATGAATGGAACAGAGGACGGCGAAGTTGGGAGGCAGAATGAATAGGCCGACAATCTAGGCGCGCGGATCAGAACATCAATATACGAATAAATCAAATGTCAATAAGGAGCGGATCAACGGCGACCATATCAACCACTAGTTAGTTAAGCGAATGAATAGAATAAAACGGTATCGGCCGAATGGCTGAGAAACTCAAGTGGTGGCGGGAGAACGAAGGAGGCGCTGCTATGGGGCCATGGGACGGGAACCGCTATCGGCGCCGCTAAGTGATGGGCAATGGCGCGATTTAACGGGCGCGAGTAATGGGCGCAAGAATGGGGGTGCAGAAAGTGGTAGAGGGGCAGGGACATTGCGGGGCCGTGACACATGCTCTGCACGCCGCATGCTCCAGGCCCGGTTCCTACCCCTTCATGTGACTTCCGGGTATCCCCGGAAGTTTTGCTGATATTGTGGCCACTGTGGGAAGATGAGAAGTTAGCTTCCTTCTCATCTTCTTACCCACAGTAGGATTGTGCCCTGGATAGGGCTGGCCAGACCTGAGGCTGTGGGCCATAGGGGAGGGTCATGGGGACCCGGGAGTCATCCCCTGACAACTTGACAGCACCTGTTAATGGTGGTACCTCAAGAACCACAGGGCCAATTTGAATAAAATTGAGCTTGTTGGAAAGCTGGAGGAGAGGAGAAGTTAGTGTGGCTCAAAAAAAAGCATGGAAAGGGATGGTTTGGTTTCGCGTCGACCTTCTTTCATATCAGGCTGCTCCAGCAGTATTTCCCCGATTTCTCCCCCATTTCTTCGTCAATTTACACATATTTTGTATCATTGGAAATCTGTTATCAAAATGAGTCGAACTAGTCTGTAGCAGAGAGATTTGGTTCAGCCATTGTGGAGATCAACTTTATTCATTGTGTTGCCATCAATCCGCATAACTTGCAAATATATTGACAAAAATGCCATCGATTTCTCTCAAACTTGGTACTATAGGAAGAATATTCTCCACGGGCACTCAGGATATTTTTTCATATTTTTAAGGCTCCTGAGAGACTCTGAATGTCGACTTTTTCCCTTTCCCACGCAATCCATGTTCGGTGAATATTCATGACAACAAACATTAGAACTTGAATGTGGTAATATATATGCTTACATGCGACATAACATGTGTGTTCTTCATTCTGATACCTAGCTATAAGGTTATACATTTCCTTACAGAATGTTAGCCAGAGCTTGTATGTACTTGTAAGCAATGGATTTTCCAAATCGGTGGAGATTTGACAGAGATGCCAGCCTCGCAAGCTACCCATAGTAGATGCATACCGGATATGGTTATCTACAATGGCCTGTAAAATCTCCAAAATCTTTATAAGCATTAAAAATCCCCTTGAAAGCACCATGGCAGAGTATAATGCTCGAAATCATTGAGAAACATTGGCCATTCCCCCACCTCGGCCCTAATTCCCTTTATCTTTTCCATTTTCCTGTCTACTATTTATGTAAATAGCCGTATGTACAACATCATGGGGCACATAGTTATCAGGACATCCTCAGATTTTCCCACAGTCCATTTTTGGCAGCAAGCCGCATCACCAGGACGTCCCAGGACGTCCACATTGAAATAGGCCGTTTAGGCCCTATTTGAAGCGTAAAAAACACCCCTTGATAGGGTGGGTTAATTGGCTGACTAGCCTGAGCAGTTGATACCTCACTAATCGAGGTATCGCGCTGCGCAGTTGTTACAGTGACCCTCCTTGGACCATGAACTTTGGTTCACGTGAAGTTCATGCCCAACTCTAGACCGACGGCGTCCAGCACTTAGTGTGAAGCTTCGTATCAACGGGCTCCAATTGCTCACTTCCAAAATTTTCATCCCACTTTGTGTCGTAGATCTCTGGCGCCCAATATCATCGTGGACGAATGTATGATACAGTTACTCTGATGCAAGGGTCCTGAATTCCACAGTTAATGGTCGGACAGTCGCGAGTCAATTCGCGTGGGGCAGACTTGCGACGACAAATTTGGTCGAACGCAGTACCAGTTGATCCACACCCTTATCTGTTGACTAGTTTTCACCATCAACCCCTGGACGATGTTTACGACTCTGTCCTCACCATGCAATCTCCCATACCCGCCCCTCTCGATTCCTCTGAAACGAGTTGTCTTCGAATCCAGCTGACATGTCTACATCCAAAGTACCCAACTCGGGTACTGATTCCGAGCATAGGAAAACCATGAGCGCTCTAGTCCAACTGTTATTTGAACATCATATGATCAAGAGGGACAATAAGTAATATATGACCTCTCCTTCAGGTCCATTGTATCAAAAGAATGATGCAGTGATGCAGAGAATAGATTATAAGACCCAACTGGAACCCACTCTACCAACTTCCCTTGTCCACCCCCGCTTTGGATCCATCAATGACAGAGGCTCTTAAAGTCGATCTTGAGCTCACGGACGACAATTCCCTGTCTGACCCCTCCTCGGTATATCGCATCAGAGGAAGAGAAACATAAGCTGGTGGAACTGGGTCCTGCATTTCGTAATCTCGAGTGACACTCATCAGGCCTGCTGGTTGACTAGCATCGGTAGGCGCTCGATCATAGGACCTCCATTGAGCGCCCAAACCCGTCCTGCTATGCCCTTGATCGGCCGTGTTGCGCTGAGGCTGTAGAGGAGAATGAGTTCGAGAAGGTGTATAATCCTGGTTATCGTGATCTGGATTCTCGGTATCACGCGTTGGTAGACGTGTGTGGGCGTATGAATCATCCTTCCGAATGTGTTGAACGAGAGAGCGAATAGGGAAGAGGATAGAAATCACGGCGAGAGTAATTATGGGTATCTGGAAATCGGTTAGCAAAGGTGAGTATCGGAAGGTCGTCGTCGAAGGACAGGGACAGGTGTACCTGCGAAGGCTTGATTGTTCGGTCTGTTCCACCAAGGAAAGGAAGCTCTTGCGATTTTACATAAAACTCCGTAGCTGTTATCCATATCCCATACACCATCCCAAATAAAATGAAGAGAATTGACTTCTGCTTAACTGAGGGCTCCGCAGCCACACTAGAGGAACGACTTTTTTTCATGGCGACGCTATAAATCACCCCAGTTAACCACGGCATTCCGACCAGGATGACGAACACAAAATGATCGGGTATCTTTGAGGATCTCCACGGCGCGAGGTTCAGGCGGGAATTACAAGCCGCCTGTGACCCAAATATCTTTCTAGATGATTTTATCACGGTAAGCTTTATCACCAGCAGGCCACAAGTGACGTTGAAGAGTAGGTTGGATAAAACGAAGATGATAAGATCCAGGGCACGTTGGCTGAACAGAAGAGTATAAAAAGTGACAGTGACTATGATCATCTCGCATAAGCAAGTGAAAATCTAGTTATAAATATTTGACAAAAACTCACTGGTAATGTTGGCGCCGAAGGAGAGATAAGCGGCCAGGAGGGCATGATACGCGCTTAGTGTTTTGTTGCGCAACATCCCACCAAAAACGAGGGAGGAGATGGTAAGGATAAAAAAGATTGTGTACTGGAACCAATACAGGAAACGCTTGTCCGACAAATTCTTTATTGCGACAATCGAAAGCCCTAAAAACACATGGACAGCATTATTAATCTGTCCAGCACAAGAGGATGATAGTAGAAAGAACAAGCTTGCCTGATACCGTAACAATAACGTACGTCGCAACCCTGGCAGGGACTCCGCCAATTTCTACAATGATCGAGAGTGTCCACGGCGCTTAGATGCCACAGGGCGTTGCTTCCGGATAGGAGGTCACAAAGCTCACCATCATCCGGGCACCACCCTTTACAATCTGTTTGCGGTACCGCACAGTACGCTGCTATGGATGCTGCGTCCATGTCGAGAGTTATTAGGAACCGACTGACAGGTCAATTTTAGCCAGCCCTTGTCAGTTGGGTCGTACGTAACGTCACCAGCAGACCACGATCAGAGCTATCTGAGAGGAGGTCACAAAGTCCGGCTGGAAGGGGTTGAGCGCTGCGGTGCTGAAAGCGCAGGGTCAAGCTTTGAGCATTCGGACAGAAAGGCACGAGGCGGCTATGCTACCGAGGCACAAATCAAATTCGAGCCAAGCGCAGATCATAGGCACAGATGTTCAAGGCACCGCCTCGCAAGCGGGCGACAAAAATAAACGACAGCTGTTGGGAGGCTTGGCCAACTGGAGAACCGCCAGAACTGTGGGGTTCTGGATGTCTTACCGTAACGAGGATCGAGGTCACATGGCAACATTTTGGCGATAATATTTTCGACAAGAAATGGATGCGCGGCGCAAGCCAGGACATGGTCCTACGGCCAAGATCAAGGATTGTTTGGGGTTGGACTGTCGGCAATTAAGTGTCTACTAAACGCAAATAATGACCAACGGATGACAGTTATGACCTCAGCACACTCCGCAAGACGTCCAGCCTCAAGATCAATGCGGGCTTATTTAGTCGGACCTCGCGCCGGAGTCCAACTCGGTGCAAAAAAAAATCGGCGCATATAACTCGATGGGGAACAACTCCGATTTGGGATAAATGGGCCCTTGTCATCGTGACTCGGCACCGCTGCACGAAGACCATACGTGCATGGCAAGACTTAACCAGGGACCACTGTGGTAAGGACATGATATGAAACGAAACACAAGATACAGGGGAGAGTACAGAGGGGTATCAAAGGCATGCATGATAAATGAATGAAACTGGAAATCGTATGTGGGGCAGGAGAACGGGGTGGAGATGAGGTGCGCGCGAGATTCAATACACTAAGACGAAGGTTTTGCACAGAGTAAACGAGTGCAGTGACAAGCATTGACGATGTGTTGACTGACGTTGAATGAAAAAATGGCAAAGCAACGATATTGGCAGCAGCGGCAGTCAAAACTTGGGTGCTGCATGGATTTAGATAGATTAGTTTCACAAACTACAGCGGCAGCGCAGGGTAGTTAGCAGAGGGTCCCAGCTCTGGGACGAAATTAAGTGCGTAGCTAGCCGCAAAGGCAGGCAAGCACGTTCAAGCAAGCGCAGAAACACATAAGAGGAGATGTAAGTATGACACTGACAGGTATGTGGAGTCAAGGCATGTGAAACAAGGGCTCGCAGACAAGCGCCAACCTGTAATTAGTCTTGATACTGAATGTCAAGAAACCCTGCCTGATCGCGATGCCGAGTCTATGAGCATGTCGGATACTATCTCAGCAGCACGGCCGGACAGAGCTCCGCATGTACACGTAAGTTGGTTAGCAGGATGAGGAAAAGGCCTCAGATGGCAGCCCAAGAGAGAGATGCAACTGAGTTAGCAAGGACCCCCGAGGACGCGCCAGTGGAGGTGGCCAGATAGGGTTAAGGCGCTAAAACTGCGATGTATTGAATTATATTTTTGTTACCATTTTTGGATGATCATAAGATCTACCTCGGGCACGCCGATTTTTTTGGCACCTTGCTGTAAAAGGCCACCGCTGATGAGTTTACAACGTGAACAACTCACCCGGGGCCACCGGAAACAAAGCTCTGCTCATGGCCATCTCATAGTCTCGCGGTACCATTTGCTGCGCAGTGTAATCGAGCCCGAATCACGAGCCTTGGCCGTTCCCACTGTGTTCGCGGCCTCAACTTTTGTGTCTGAATAACAAGGTTTCTGCACTCTCTTGGCCACGTTGAATGGCCCGAAGCATGCTGGCGGGCCATTTGAGCCGTCGGGGGGTGAAGTTTGGGTAAGTCGTTTGGCGTTTTCATTCGAAACTCTAAGGAGACATAGGCTAAGCGGCCCGAACTGACCCAGGATGTGACTAGTATAGCGTTCTTCCCTTTGGCACACCTTCTCTAATCCTGCTTTTGGGTACCATGGAGTGCTCGAATTGAGTACGATGGCTGATCCCTAACCATCTGCAAGACTCAGATGGGAATACTAGGCGGAAACTGGCTGGAATTCAACGCCCCCTTTGGGGACCGCATCCTGGAAATAGGGACAACTGCTTCAAGTGTAAAGATCTACGTTTTGTGCTTGGAGAGACCAAGAGGCCATGGAGAGCCGATAATTCATTTACATTACAACGTTCTCCGCAATCACAGCTCCCAGAAGGAATGGGTCCTCCTGCACACTGGTGGATTTTGCTTGTCATTTCCAAACAGTTGTTTACGTAATCATGGAGATTGACATGTCATCGCCACCAAATTATTCAAAAGTCGCGGTGAACAATTCACAAGTGTGAGGCGGGTCAAAGGGGGCTGTCGGGCGGTGCGTCTAGCAGACCCACTCAGTTCCGGGTCCCTTGTGGGGTGTGGCTACTTGATGGTCCTGCGCGTTCCTATCCAATCAGGCGTTCGGCTCCATGTCCTCGCATTTTTGTTTCCGTGAAGTGTCTTGAAGGGCCGTGTGTCTATTAGCGAAGCTATATGTTTCACTTGTCACAACGGTGACAAGAGACTGGTTTGAATCATTGAAAGTCGCCTTGGATACCCAGAAATCCCAAGGCACATAAAATAACCGGATAGCACGCCAATGCATACCATCCCACAGGGGGCATTTCAGTCATTCTAGGCGGTCACCGCATGTCCCTACCAGCATTTAGTATAGATAGAACCAGGCCTCATTTGATTTGGCGTCTGTGTTCACTACGAACTGGTCGAATGTAATTCAAGGACTATTCTAGAGGAACTTTGGACAGGTGGACCTTCAAAAAAACTGCTACACCATATTTGGATCGGCTAGCAGTATTGAGCGGGCTTCTCTGTCGATCCATTAATTTTAAACGACACAGCCGGTGGGCATGAAACATGGAGCCCGGGAGACCGTGTAGGGTGCCAAGTGGCTGCCTCCACATTAAACGCCGGCGCTGGGCGTTGGCACACTGAAGACAGTGGCAAAAATAAATCAAGCCCAAGTCTCGCCTCTGCGTGGTATGGTTCAATTTCGTTTCTGGACTCAACTGATTCCTTGGTTCAATCGTGTTACGTACATGACTCCTATGGACTCAAGTATTGAGAGTTCTCCTTTCTTCCACAAACGGGGAACGGGGAATGTAGTACCCTAGCTCCCAAAGTCTAGGGGACGAGGGGAATGCCTCCCGCCCCATGGTCGACTTCTGCGGCCAACCGGGACGGCACCATGTGGTACTCGCATGCACACATCACGATTTGGTGAGGGCGAGGCGGCATCGGGCACACCTGAACAACGCTTGATACGAGAATACAAGCTGAAACGATGCAGGGGCCCGAAGTAGACAAACTGATTTTCCTTGACTTGCACTTGTCTGGAGGGTCAGGGGATAGTGCCAGGCCATATGGCCAGCGGAAGAAAGGTGTTGCCGGCGCGTCGTCGTCGTCTAAGACTGCACGTACAGGATCTGAATTGATCTGCACGCCGCATTCACCCAGGATAGAATCAGAGGGGGTACACGCGCTTCAACCCTATGTGGGATATCAAAACGAGGCTTCAGAGACATTTAAAATACTACCACTGCTTCGTGCGTGTGCCACGAATGAGGGGTTAAAGCGTGTGTGGAGTCGCAGGTTTTTCTTTGAAGCGTGGGTGAAACTGCCGTTGGTTATTGACGATCACAGCTTTTTGGGATCATCGTATTTGCATACTTTATTTATATGGATCAAACATAAAACACCAAGTGCCAGTTAACTCTAACAGTCAAAGCGACAGAAGGGACAAGCAGGGCGCGCAGTGTGTAGGCACGTTATGGAGGCTCGAATCAGCAAGAGAACTCCAGAGTGCTGGGAGTGTGATCTAATTGGGCACTGAGTCTACATACTAGAAAAGAGCTCGGATAGATGTTTGATAAGGGCATTGGCATCCGTGGCAACCTGCAGGGGAATGGGAAGTTCATTCGTCATCATTGTTAAAGATTCGAATCACCTTCTGTTCCTCTAGTTGCTCCTTTACCTTATCGTGAGTTTTCTGAACAGAGCACTTCCAAGCTCGGTTACGAATGGTTGCCCTCTTTTTTACTGCAATGTCGCACCAGCTCCAAAGGGGATTTTCACTGAAAGGTCACAGTACTATACCGTCGGCGAGGGCAAGCTGAACAACTAGGGAGCGCTCCTCAGGCATATCGGCGAAGTAAGTATTATAACTTTCTTGCAGTGCTTTCACACTTTTTTGCTGTGACGGATATTCATAGGATCAGAGAAACAATTCTAATAATCATACCGCTCACGTTGCGGAACCCAAACCTGCGAGCAACATTGCTAAGGTTCAGGTCAAGTTCAGATTCCTTCACTTGCGCGAGTTCTTCTTTAATTTCCTGGCTGAAGAAAAATAACTGTGATGAGTGGGCGGCCGAAAGCACGCAGCTGTGACTACATTGCAGAAAATAGCCCCTTCTCCAGCGAGGAAGCCTTCGAGCGTGCGTTATCAGCAAGGGCTGCATTCTTAACTTGTAATGCTTTCCCATTCATAGTTGATTTCGCGCTTTTCGCTGTTAAATAGGTCGTCATGAAAAGTGGACGTGTGTGAGCCATGAGCCCTAAAAAAAGGGCTTCCAAAAATATAAATAAAAGAACCTTTGGCAATTTCGAGTAGCTGTCGTAGTCTGAAGATGTGAGTTCAAATTCACAGGCAATTTCAAGTTGCACAGGGAGGATGAATGCTCACTTGGAATCAGAAATTGTTTCATCGTCCAGTAAAGTCCCACTCTCAACGTCCTCATTACCTCGTTTTCAATGTCATCATCAGGGTATGTATTACTATCCTGAGTGAGCTCAAGGGTTTGGATGCGTGAAGCAGGTGCGTTAGCGACGCGTTTTGTAGCTAGAATTGAACGAGTTGGAAATGAGAATGGTCAGTGTACTGCTGATAATTCCCAAATGCGATTCGTACGTGAGCCCATTTTCATAGCACGCGCCACTTACGACCCAAGATGTTTATTGATTATGTAATTACATCGCTCGGTCCCGACGGCTGTGCTTGAATCTCCGTCGAAGTGACAATCGTCGATTTATTCTGTATCCATCAACTTGAGACCCGTAGAGAAACACTAATGTCCCTTTCTAAACGATTTCTGCCGCTCGTAACTGTGGTCCGACTTGGGCTTGGAGCATTTGTGGCCTTCACTGCTTGTTCGCCAAAAATTCGGCCGCAAAGAGTCCCTGATCCTCTCTTTTTTGGGTGAAGGGGAACTGGCAACTGCCATAGAGGTTGAAATTGTGGTCCAGGCCGAAACTCAAGAACAAACTCCCAGAACAAGTGCTGCTTGATCTATGGTGCTTCGTCTTAAATTGAACCGGGACACTGGGTTGCTACTGAATAGGATGGCTTTGCGGCCTGCTGACAACGGTGGGATTCTTTCCTGAGGATGTCAACGGCGCGTCGGGTATAAACTTATGGCCGCAGCATTACCTTAGCGATTCATGATCAATTGGGAATGCAGATGGAAGAGCACAGGCGTACTCACAATAGTTGCCATCATACTTCTACGGACGTGGTTGAGGACGTAGTTGTAGCGGCGTCTGCAGGGGGCTTGGGTGTCGCAGCCACACCGCGACGACTCGGATATGTTATCTACTCAACTAACAGCTTTGAATAGGCTTTTCCTGCCTGGTCTCTCTACGCCACCCCCAGAATTCCATATCATGTCCCGCCGCCTTGTATCCGGTGTATTGTCTCGGTTTGCGCCGAGATCATTCCACCTTTTGAATTAGTCAGCTTACAAAGGAAACAGAATCTCTTGCCAAAAGCTGTCCAAAGACTGTGTTCGTGCCATATTTGTACGATGATGGACATAGCAACGAGGGAAAAACTCCACATTCAAGAGTATATTTATCGGCCATGCCCAAACCGGTACTAGTCAGAGGCGGTGATTACTCACATAGTGTTCCGGCGATCCTATTACAGTAATTGCGAGCAAACGAGTGTGGGTCTTCCCGCTTCCCGCTTCGAACAAGGCCCCGCCGACGGTCTCAAGCAATTCCGGCCTTTCTCCGTTTCTCCTACCAATGCGTTTCAGTTTTGAGTGCTTTTTCTCCGTATACGGATCGAGAAGCTTCGGGCTTTCGCTATTCTCAATGGCAGACATATTCGTAGAGGCGATGTCAGGGGCAAGACCATTCTTTTAGTTCCAGCCTCAAACGTGTCCATACCTGATGATATTCACTCACTTCGTATTGCAGGTCCCCAATAGGGATCGGCAGACGGTAACGGTTAGGATTGGGATACAGTATAAATAGAAGACTCCATCGAGGAGGCCAGAAATAACAATATAGTCAATACATTGGTGCCTGCATGTTGGTATTGATGGAAAGATGCTGCATGCAATGCAGTCAAAGAAACGAATTAACATGACGAAATCACAGTGTTGAAACGCGAATCTCCATATCCTTGTTCGTATCCGCGCGTAATGCAAATGGATGGAGTGATGAATGGGAATGTGTGGATACCGAAATGAAGTAATGTGCGGATGGCTCAGGGTAAGTGACTTCTGCAAATGAAGAGGGACAGCAGGAATGGGTGTTCAGGGAGAGCGAGAAATGGGCTGAGAAAGTGGATCAAACAATATGCAATGTGAATGGGGCGAAAAGAAGCAGAGGTGTATGACGAATACTGAATATCAGAAATGGGATATCGAAGGATGGTGGCGCCGGATGCATGGATCTACAGTAAAAGACAAAGAAAAATGGCTGGTAAGACTAAAGGGAACTATAGAATCGCACTTTATAAATTTATGAAGGGAATGAGGAAGATAAGCAGTGGGGAAAATATCATATGTAGGGCATGAGGATCATAATGTTCTTCAGGATCGTAAAGCGGCGGAAGCGTCCCGAAGCGTAGCAAGTGCATCAAGGGAAACCTCGGCAGGGTTGGACATGCCTTCCGCCTGAGTGGTCCCATGGATATTGTGATGGACATGATGACGATGGTGCTGTTGAGGAGTATGCAGATGACTGTGCGATTGTTGCTGCTGTGACGGCTGTTGCTGTTGTTGTGATTGCTGTTGCTGATGATGCGCGCTAGTACCAATATCCAGTCTGGGATCGTCGTCTCGTTCTCGTTCGTGTGATTCAAGGTGATGTTGAAGATGTTGAATGGGTTGATGTTCTCCAACACTTCCACCAGTGCTGCCACCCACATTTTGTCCACCGCCGAGGGCAGGGCCCGTCATGATACCAGGCGGGCCAGGATCACGGTGAGGGCCGAATTCTTCTTCTTCACCTACGTCCGTGCCAGTCATCTCCCCACGTTTGATGCGCTCGAGCTGAATCTGCAGACGGATGACCTCGCGTTCATGCCATCGTATACGCTCCCTCTCCTCACGCTCCCTATCACGCTCCTGTTGCTCGAGCTTCAGGCGCTTGATGGTAATTGTGTGCTCCTCACGCTTTCGCTTCCGATTATCTAAAGCGTGAAACAAGTTCACAATGGTCTGGCCGAGAGGAGGAGACGGCGGATCCCCGTCGGCTGGCTGCGAATGGTCTGATGAAACATCTTCGCCTTCCCTATGACTCAGGGGCTGTGAGTGCTCTCGAGCCGAGTCAGGCTACAAATTCAGGGCGAGTTAGCAACTCCGTAGACAGGAGGCTCGATAGACTGTGACATACATTCGCAGAATCACGGAGGCGTCCAGAAAGCTGAGGAGGAATGTAGCCGCCTCCAACAATAGGAAGCAGATGATTGGCGGCAGACGAAGGTGCGTTAGGATCATGGCCTGAGGGATCTAAAGAAGGGTAACTAGAAATGAAAGTGGTCCTCGGCGGGGGCGGAACAGGTGGAGGAGGGTAGTACCGCTGATACTGTGGATGGGTGCGACCATTAGTAGGCTGAATGGGGGACATGATGGGTGAAGTGGTGTATCCCAAGCTGCCCGCGGACTGGAGAGGGACAATTGTGAGAACCGAGCCAAAAAAAAGTGCGTAATAATGGAGTTAACCTACCTCTATGGGGAACGGCCCACTGACGGAGCGATTCAGCGGCCGATAGGTGCCATTTCCTGACCCAAGTGGACCAGAGGATTCTGTGAGGGGGACAAGTCCACCGGTGGCGCTGCAACAACAGGACGGTTCATAATGTCTCTGACAGTGAGAAATTGAGGGAGTTTGTCCTTCACTCTTGCTGACATGGTGGAAGGTTAAAAGTGAAGGCGTAAGTTCAGTCACATGATAAACATAGATTCTCCAGGCGCTTACCCCATATCCGCGACAGGTCTGAGTCAGGGGGAATATCGTGCTCGTCGTTCAGGGTATCCGCAGCAGGGCCAAGCTCTTCCTTGCACTCATTATACAATTTTCGAATCCTGTGGCGAACGCGAAGAGCGTCAACCCAGCTGTCAAGATGGACTGGGAACGCGTGCCCTACTTATTTACTTTGTTTTTCACACTAGTCCCCAGAAGGTCAATCGTGCGCGTGTCGTCCAGGTCAAAACGCGGGTCGTCTTGGAAGAGATATCGCGCAATCTCCCGTTGTAAGTCACTTTTTGGCATGCCAATGACTGCACGCGAGTGCTCAGCAGTGGAGGTGGCGATGAACACGCCTGCCCAAAGGTCATTGTTGTGTAGGGCATTGATGAGACGATCCGTGAGGTCAGCTTCTTCCCATCTACGATGAAAATGAGACGCGACGATTTGGGACTGAAGTCGCGCGGGGAGTAATGAAATTGGGCATGAATTGCGGCTTACCGGACAGAGATACCAGTCTTTTCCTTACTATCCTTCTTTCCCGGGCCACGTCCTCCTTTTTTCCGGATACGGAGGGGAGAACCCTCCTCGAATTTCTCAAGCATCACAGGATGCGGAGATGAATGACTCGGGCCAGCTACGACGTCAGATTGGATGAAGTGCTGATGACGCTCATCCGAAAGATGGGGCCGATCCATCGAGGACAGCGACGAGTGTGGTAGGTGCTGCATACGCAGATCTAAGTGTGGACGAGTGGGAGACGAAAAGTTATGCGGTCCAATGTTGGATTCTCGGAAGACGCGACGGAATAGGGCGGAAGCTAAGGAACGTTGCAGATGCGGATTCGGTAGCCCCAGCTTTTCCACTATTCTTGTAACAGCGATTAATAGAAATGAGCTGAAATAACAAGCGGCGAACGAGGAGCACAGCGACAGTCGAGTAGATTTTCTCGGAGGCTAGTTAACGGCGTATACAGACAGAAGGGAGCATACAGGACCAGTATTTACGCCAGGCAGAGAGGTGTGCACTGGAGCAGCGTGGTAGGGAGCACCAGCTGCCATGAGGCTCATAATATGAATGGGCGTGACGAGCCAGTGTGACAGATGATTCGTGACCGATTGACTAGGCTCTGCCGGCGCTTAATCTGATCACCGCAACAAGAACAATGTCTACATACTATCAGCGTCTGAGACATTCACGGCGAGAGCAGATCAGTGACACTCCATCAGATCTTGAAACCCCGGAGCTATCTGTTCTTCCCCAACACTCCATTCTCATATTCCCATCGCCTCCTTCCGACCCAAGCACTCCCTCCCTCACGCACCTGCGCCACGGATCAGCCACGCCATCTATCCCAGCTTCCCTTATCTCTTCCGTCGAGGCCCGCTCACCTCCAACTGGCAGCACACCAACTGACTCATGGGATGACCTAGGCTCAGACGCTCAGCGGCTGCGCGCCTCCGAGCCTCTCACTCGCGACAGACTGGCCCAGCTCCAGTCAGGCTTTGAATGGAGTGAAAATGGCCTGGTCGAGCACTGGGAATGGAGTGGTGGCATGTCATCGTCCAGTTCCAGCCCTTCATCTCTCCTACAAGGCAGGCGTCCGTTATCTCGACCTCCCCCAAGCGCGCTAGCCACAGACTATCATAGTGCTTCGTCTGAGTTTCACTTCTCGACGACATCCTCCTCTCGCCTTGATGATGAGTCCGATTTTGGCTCGCTGTTTATGGTCGCATTGCGCACGCGTGACGATCCGAACCTTCTGCCCGATCCCTTTGCATCCACTAATTCCTGCATAATTCGCCACCCAAAGACATTTCGGCTCCCTTTTGAGTCCTGGTTACGATATATCTTTGATTTGGACCCGACGACCCTCGATCTGCTCAAACAATCCAGTAGACCTCACCTGAATAATCTGTATCATGGTGACCACCCAGAGCAGGACCCGTCTTGTATCTTATTCACCGCCCCTACTATCGGTGAAAAGGCGACGGATGCGGATCAAGACGTACAGCCCCCGCGTGATGTATTCTCCGATGGACCCCACATTGCCATCCGCACCCTGCGCAAAGGTTTAGAGGGCCTATCGGACCAAAGCATTTCTGCCCAACAATTATTTTCGACCGCGATTCGAGTACCTTATATTATATTGCAGGCCGTGCTAAGATGACTGCGTTAACTTGCTATTTCGAGCCTTGAAACGTCAATCGTACGTTTTCCCTTAGGGCCCCTAACCCTGTAATCCTAACCACTTCGTCCTAGAGTTAACTTAGATCTATATACATCAGGATAGTAAATATCGCGGTTGTAATCAGTACATAGACTGCCATGTTCCAAACCCTCTCATCATTTCGTTATGGAGGTTTCAAATCAGTACCCACAACGCCTCATGCGCAAAGGGTGCCAAAGACGGGCGAACATGCTGATGCACGACTGGCTCGGTATCCTACAATCTTTAGAGTTGGCCGTGTGGGGACGCACTTCCGCTGAAACTTGCCATATTTCGCAAGTGGCCATGTTGAAGCTTCATGGGGCATACGCGCGCATCAGTACACGCCAAACCCCACCCTTCACCTGCTTCGATCATTGTGTGACATGTGGTGCGGCGTTTTGGCAAAGCAGTGCGTCTTGAACAACAAAGCTCTGTCCGATGCTACATGGACTTTTGCAACTAGTCCTTCACAGACACCTCTCACAGTTTAATCGAACGCGGCGCATGCCACGCTCCCTTCCCCCACTTCTACCGCCTAGTCCCTTTCCCTTCAAGCGACCAACTTCGCAGAAGAAATGACCGTGTGGAACAAGTTCACGTTTTATGGTGGACATGACAACAATAAATATGACGATGTTCGTTCAGTATTGGAAGGAATCTATCGTCATTTCCCAATCGAATGCGTACTATCCCAAGTGCCGTGCTGTCCAGGCGTGTTCGGCCACGCTCTCTTCTCTCGCGCAATATTTTGATTTTGGTTCCGGGGGCGTGTTTACACATGAATGGACTCTGAATTCCAAATTGACGTTGTGAGGCGTTTGGGGTAGGAAAAGAGCAATCCCTTTTCCGACGGAGTTGGGCATTATTCCAGATAAGCTGGGAGCCTGATCAGCTTGGGTGAGAACGGAGGACAATATCCGATATTGAGCAATTTGAGTATTCGATATATATCCAAGTGATGGCTTATCCAGGTGCGGGAAGAAAGGAACTTTTCTGTTGAGGCAATTTGATGTAACGCAATACTTTCGGCGGTCGATCGGGTTGCCATTCGTTATGGATCTGAACCGCACAACCGTCAATTGGAACTTTCGAATGAAATGGCCTATAACTGGTAAGTATGCCAGACTGAGACTGCTGGCGCCAATTTATGACCGCATGATTCAGGGGACGCTTTATCAGATTCACAACAATATGACAGCAATATTTGGATGAGGTAGGGACAGCATTGAGTTCGGTGTTTTACTGGACAGATCTGTCATTAAAAAAGTGACCGATATTGATGAAGGGTTCTTTAACGCCATATCGACAAGGAAGTAACAATTCCTACCACAGAGCAGGCGTTGGTAACCGTTTCGTGTTAAGTACTCGAGTGAAACGGGGTGTGGTGATCAAGTCTGCCCAGTTGATAGCCAAATCATTCGACTGTGATGTTGCAGCCAAATGAGGTTCAGATCCCAAGGGCACCTCAGAATGGACCCTAGAAACCCTCGAGACCCCTCTTTATTGTGACATAGATTCGATACTGGTTTGTACCCGAATTCAAGATGAGATGCACGCTCCAGATATGGCTTACGTAGAAGTCTGGCAAATCGCACAGGATGGATCGTGATTGCTCCGGAGACCAGGAGATACCCTTGTTTGGCATTCGAGAAGTTGTGCGTCCGCGATCTCGCAGCGAATGAGGACAAGACCGCCTGGATAGTCTCTGGGGCCCAGTGAAGCTCCGAGATCGAACCAAGAGCCGGGCCAAGGTTCTCGACCTGAAGTTCACTTATTCAGAAGATGTCAAGATCCTGAGTCTCTAACGTAAGTCGAAGGGGGATCCAGTAGAAATCCGACTTCTCATCCTCATGGCTTGAGACTCAAGCCCTGCTACGCAGCCATCTGGCGATCGTCGAAGACTCAGCAGCTGATCTTTGGGATGGCCAAAATGGATTGGACTTTCGTCCGCTCCACATGTTTCTTGCTAGCGTTCCTGGACCTGGCACTTAGTCGCTGGGAACACACATTCAGCAAGGAACACGTTTGTGTGCATTTCATATGCTTACGGAAGTTGGTGACGTTCTGTACCCAGCCCTCCGCGGTCACCGCCGGAGGCAACAAAACGGTATAAGCAAAGCCCGTTGCAGCCCGGAATTCGCACAGGGAGATGGATTGTGTGAGCACCATCGGCGGTCACAGGCGCGTGGTTTTCGCGTATGACAAACGGTCAGCGAATAAGCAGTTGCGGGTGACAAAGCTGCCCATTACACCACTCCGTAGTAGAACACCCTTCTATGACATATGATATGCCGCACTCGTCAGGATGACGCGCATTGACGGCCCCCAAATCGCATCATCCAACGGCATCAAATCACAGGTTGGAAAGTCCGAATGGCATTCTGACCTAGATGCGAACTGGTCGAAGGAATCGTCTATGCTTAGGCAGGCTAGCACAATTGGTATCCTCAACGGCGAAAGTAGCCCCCACATTGGACCCAAGGGCGCAGAACACATGTGTAGTGCTAGGCGAAATGAAACCAGCAGCCGCCAGGGAGTATAACGATATTTTCTATCTCAAGTTCGCTCAATGTCAAATTGGAAGTTGAGCGCGGCTCTAATTTGCATGAAGAAAATTCTGCATGACAAATGAGGGTGGTCCCATCAAAACAAGACAAGATCAGATATCCTTCTTTCCAAGGCATCTGCCGATTACCCTTTCCACAAGAGCCTTTGTAATGACAATCAGATTGCGGCACCGCACTTGGGTTGACTTATCAAGATACATACAGTTAGTCCCATACTCGGCACAACCCTGACTCCTGAACGACCAGACGTTATTCTCGGGTCTGTAATACCTAAAAAGCTCAAAGAAGGCTGACAGGACGGGAAGATGGGAATATTTCGGTCATATCCGCTTCATATGTGGCAGAGGGTGAGGACTCTGAGGAGAACAGTGCGTCCAGCCTTCGCCCCATGCAAACTACGGTGCTAGACAAGTTTTCAGAATGCCGCTTTAAGGGGACGAGGATCTTCCAAGTGAGATGCCCACGACGATGCTTTCAGTCATCGCAACATTGTGAGTCACAGTTGACCCAAGCTTGACGACGTCAGACTACCGGTCACACGGTCACGCCCATAGAGGCTGGTATCCTGCCTAGTCACGCCCTATCACGGTCTCAGGGTCAAAAGCCAAGACCTGGACATGTGACCGTACAAGAGATGTATGCCTGGCGGAGTTGGCCGAATTCTCACCTGGCAGTTGCCATCTCTAAATGCATATATGCATCCCGTTCCGCAGTGATTGACCAGCGAATGACACGGCCAGGACAGGGCTGACGAGAATTTGACCCGTCATTGTCAGTCCAACACACTGGCACTGAGTCATATTTCATTAACGGCTCTCCAAGACGTTCATGCCTCGTGGCGGCTCTCCCAAATCCGCAGGCTAAGATGTCTGTCCTACATGCCGCTTACGGCCTCGGTGCATTCTCATCGCCGTTTGTTGCAACCCAATTTATGCGGCAGGAGTGGTCCACACCGAAGACCACAATAATTCTTCTGAAGATTCCAAATTTGCGGAGGTGATGAAATGGGTGTGATGCATCTTTGATTCTTGTTTATGTTAGAGTCGAAGGCGAGCATTTGCTTCCATAGCATCGGTGAGTCTTGAAAATTTTGCATTTCAGTGTCCATGGGCGGATGGATTGTATCATTCATCATCGAGAAGCGCGGAGGTCGGGGAAATGCTGGATATATATCAAGTGGTTTCTTTGGAGGCGAGCAATAGGGAATATGTTTGTTGGTGAAATAATTGTTTGGGGTATCCGGTTGGATCAGAAGGTGGGTGACAACACCGTGTGCGTTTCTAGGCAAGGAACTTTTGGGGCAGCTCGGTCCACGCAAGGCCATAACCTTTACGGGCTATGCACCATTGGGTATGCGTTCACATCACATCATTGAGTTGCAATGATGGCACAACACGTTCGTTCATTCCTTTAGGGTCTACTGACGCAAGCTTCTCGTGTAGTATGGGCCCCAAGTGTTACGGCCGCTGTAAGGTTGGCATCCTTTGAATGAAAGTAACTCTGCGGCCAACTACCTGAGTGTTAGTTTGATTGGGATTTCTTTATGCTTGGGGCTTGGTGACGCGACGGTTGAAAGTGGCAGAGTGATGATGATATATAGCCAGCTCAGAACTTGTTCCCGTCAACAAGCGACTGGTTTGGAGCGGAAGGATGATACCAAGCCCACCAGCATCTGGCAACTGCCGCACTGCGGACAACGATTCACCATACGCGAACACACCACAGTAATGGTCTATGCGTCCGCAATACACATGTGACTCATCGACAGGCACAGAATTTTCGGTGTCTTTGCTTCCAAAGTTGACTATCATGGTGTTGTGGGTCAGAAGGCCTTGAGATGCCATGTGGCTGTTCACGCCAAAAACGCCGCCGGCGAACAAATACAGCACGCTGGCTTCATACACAGTGCCATCCCCGTCGCTTGTAAGCAATCAGACCGATGTCATTATCCCCCATGCTTGTCAGAGTTCCCACTGTGGTAGCCAGCCGACCCAGGTCCCCTCAGAATCTGAACATTGCTCCTGAGTCATGAAGTGTGCATTCCAATGAGCGCGCTCAGCACCCCTGCGGCCCAAAGGCTAGCTCGGCACATATTACAATTCCTTGGAAACCATTAGTGAAACCTAGGCAGGTTGCCAGCCTCTATTAGTATAGAAGTGGAGCCTCGTACTGAAACGGTTGGGCACGATAGCGAAGCTAATCAGCGATCAAGATTCCGTTTGCCGTGGACGTTACCGGGGAACGGTGGACACTGTTCCCGCAACTCCTGGCTCTTTGGCCGATGGGGTGATCCTCTCCTGAATGGATGGGTTAATGATTCGGAAAGCACCGGGGTCTAGCCTCCAAGATAATGCGAAAGTTTATCTCCTCCGCGTGCAGCCCAACGCTAACGGACTCGATTACACATAGAATGGGTGAAACACCAGCTGAGTTCTCGAGTGCGGAAATGGCCCAAGGTCGTGGGAAAATTACCCATTTTAAGAGAGAGAATTACGAGTTGTGGATGGCGCCACGTTTTGGCCACGTTTGAGCAATCACATTGGAATCATTCTGACGGTTGCTATTAACGCTTAGATATATTTTAGAGGCTGGAGCTATCCAGCCCAACGCTGTCCCCTAGTTTGATCTCGATGACTGAGATATCCCCGCCTGGGACTGGGATTCATCCAGCTAGGGAAATTGAACCTCATATCCATCTATCTCGACCGTCTTCCAGAGCCTCCAAGACAGAAACCCCAGCGGTTAGATACCCTCCGAGCCTTCCAACTCAACCACCCACTGTTGAAACTGTGGAACCTACTGAAACTATTCCTGCTTCGAAGCGCAAGTTGTTAGAAAGACAGTACTTTTTGTCGATGTGCATGAGTTTGTTCCTCGCCGGGTGGAATGAGTCAGTGTCCATCGCCTTTACTCGGATTTAATCCTTTACCCTTTGATCAGCGCGAGTGCTGGCCCCTTGTTACCCCGAATGCAAGCCACCTATCATGTTGGATATACTGTAGTATCACTCATCTTTATCTGTAACTGTGTCGTACGATCTATCTATTCCGTCGACTGATTGTTTTTATCTCACTGCGGTCATATTAGGGCTTCATATCGGCCGCCCTTGTCAACCTTTGGCTAACGGATCGTTTTGGGTTTGGAAAAGTGAGCTTGATCACGCTATCACCATGAAGTTCTGAACCAAATATGGTTGTCAGGTAATTACACTTGGTTCGATCCTTCAATTAATTGCGTACTCAATTCAAGCTCCCCAACCACCATTTCCGCTTCTCGTCCTCTCTTACTTCATCAATGGTTTTGGTCAGGCTCTCCAAGACGCTCAATCAAATGGCCTCGTGGCGGCACTCCCAACAAACCCGCAGGCTAAGATGTCTATCTTACACGCCGCCTACGGCCTCGGTGCATTCTCATCACCACTTGTCGCAACCCAATTTACCCAGCGGCGTAAATGGACATTTCACTTCTTGACTAGTCTTGGGGTCGCCTTCATCAACATGGTGGCCCTGGTATGGATCTGCCGTCTTAAGACGCAGGACGGTGAGAATGACAGCGTCGATGCAATTCATTCGTATTTATCTGCAATGTGGCGTAGAATTGCTTCGCAATGTTGGAGTGGTTCACACTGAGGGGCATAATGATTCTACCGAAGATTCCAAGTTCGCGGAAATGATGAAATCGGGTGTTGTTCAGCTTCTGGCATCTTTCATTCTTGTTTACGTTGGAGTCGAAGGTGAGCAATCGTTTTGGAGCGTTGATGAGTCTCGTGTGGACCCCGAATTTCAGTAACCATTGGCGGATGGATTGTATCGTTCATCGTCGAGAAGCGCGGGGGCGGGAGCAACGCTGGATATGTGTCCAGCGGTTTCTTTGGAGGCGAGCGATAGAAGATATGTTTGTTGGCTAAATAATTACTGACGCCGTTTTGGGGTGTAGGATTAACACTGGGTCGAATGCTACTTATCTGGTTGAATCAGAAGGTGGGTGACAATGCTACGGGGAGGGTTGCGCATGTTTGGATAATGGGTCTTTCGGGGCAGCTTGGTCCACGCAGGGCCATATACCTTTACGGGTTATGCGCCATAGGGTATGCGTCGCGCTGTATCACCTAGAATGGTACCTCACCAATTATGCAGCCTCGAGTTCACAATTTGGTTCACGCCTTCACTTATCGAGAATGCACTGGCGGTCTCCTTTGTCGGTCTCTTTTTAGGGCCTATTTACCCGCTTGTAATGAACGTAGCGTCCGCCATCGTACCTAGGCGGTGAGTGAAAGGAACGACGTCAACAACTGCAGGATCCTCAAAGAGATCAATGTTAAAGCATTCTGACTGGCTCGATTGGGTGGATAGCTAGGTTTGTAGAAGCCCCCAGTCAGTGGAGAAGGACTAATGTTGGAAGCGCAGCATTGGTCAAACAGGATCCGCTACATTCCCGTTTATTCTTGCAGTGATAGCACAACACGTTCGTCCATTCCTTTGGTATCCCACTAATGCGAGCTGATCATGACTTCTCGTTTAGTATGGGCTCCAAGTTTTACAGCCACTGTAAGTTTGGCGTCCTTTATGAAAATGACTCTGCCACCAACTGCCTTCGCGTTAGTTTGATTGGAACAATTTCTTTTATGCTTGGGGTTTGGTTCTTTGTTCCAACTCCAGATAGGCGCAAAGATTAAAAGTAGATGAATAACGATGGTATAGAACTGACTCGGACCCGTTCCAATCGACGAAGGTCTGGCCATAGAACTTTAGTGTACTACAAGCCATCCTGCTTGTAAACTTGAACTTTGCTGCAGCTCTGGGGTCATATCGAGAATACAGAGTCAAAGACTCACGCCGAATACATTATGCCACACCTCCTGAAATCACTACTCTATGTTGTGGAGCTATAGCCGGGTAGAAGGCATCGTTAGGTAAATTTAAGCTAGTCGAAGGGTTCGATGCGGGGGAACTTAGGGTAAAAGCAAGCCTACGTGCACCGGTATCTCAGCAAGATAGATGTCGAGCTTCGAGTGGATTTGGATGTGGGGTGGCTCCAGCGTAAGGCGCCCATTAGCTGTGCGTTCGCAACGCACGAGTGACATTTTGTGACTCAAGAGTGTCACATGTGACATGTCTTTGCACTTGTTCAATTGACTGCGACGGCGCTAAAAATGTTGGGCTCATTGCGTGCAGTGCACATAGGCCTCCGAGGGACCTCTTCTTTTCACTGTTCCTCGAAGTCCCTTGCCCAAGGTGCCAAGGATGTCGTGATGAATCGCTACAGCAGAACAGTTACCCAACCCAAAGATCAAGGCGCCAGTCAGGTGTGTTTGTGAGTTTCGTCATGTATTTCATTACCTACGCAGTGTCTATCTTGTTGTCAAAATGAAGGCTATGTTATTTGCCACTGAGGGGGTCTCTGAGGATGCTGATTTCAATAAGGCAATGGTTGGTGTTGCCAGCGTTTGGTGGGTTCAGCTCTTCCTCCGATCCCCTCCATAATTTTAACTCGTATTCGCCAGGTATGAGGGGAATCCGTGCGTATAATTTCACAAACAATCTGGCAATTCGAAGCTTATGCCAGCGGCGGATAGATGTAATCGTCATCTGCTCGGTCTAGGCCAACGAATTAAAAAGTCATTAGTGGAAGCCGATCTTATTGGGTATCAGTTTGGTACTGTTGGTGTCAGCGATGGTATCAGCATGGGGACACGGGGGATGTCATACTCTCTCCAGTCCCGCGATCTTATCGCTGACCAAGTCGAGACTGCTGCGGGCGGACATTGGCTTGATGGAATGGTCGTCGTCCCTGGCTGTGACAAGAATATGCCGGGCGTCCTTATGGCATGTAAGTGAAATTGGTTTGGGCTTCAGACTGCGTCTCTAAAGTGGTTTCTTCACAGTAGGACGTCTCAACCGCCCTGGGATAATGGTGTATGGGGGTACTATCCGACCAGGGGCGTGTGAAGGACAGCCCCAACTTGACATCGTCTCAGCATTCCAATCTTACGGGAAGTACTTGCAGGATGGTCAGACGTCCGAGGCGGAAAAGTTCCGTTATAGTACTATTCGACACGCGTGCCCGGGACCTGGTGCATGTGGAGGGGTACGTCCATTGCAGCCTCAGGTTTCACACCTCTAAGTCTTTTCCTTGTCCTCGAAGCTAGATGTATACAGCAAATACTATGGCCAGCGCTGCTGAGGCACTTGGAATGACGTTACCGGGCTCGTCATCCTTCCCAGCGGAGGAGAAAGATAAGCTCGACGAATGTGACAGCATCGGAGCAGCTATGCGTGCCATTATTGAACAAAATATCTTGCCGCGGGACATAATGACCCGCCCGGCCTTCGAAAATGCAATGGTAAGCATGCCAACTGCTCTTGGCCACCTACGGAACTTAGTAGGTCAAAGGTACTTACCATGATCCTCGGAGGGTCAACAAATGCCGTCCTACATCTCATTGCTATTGCACACTCCGTCGGAATAAAGCTCACCATTGAGGACTTCCAAAATGTCTCCGACCGTACACCGTTCCTTGCAGATCTCAAGCCCAGCGGGAAGTACGTGATGGAGGATGTTTACAAGCTAGGAGGGGTCCCGAGTGAGTCTGCGTGTTAATAATGGGTGGTTTGGTATTTCCTCATGCTCAAACAGAAATTTTGCACTATCTGATGAAGAACAGCCTCATTGACGGCAACACCATGACGGTGACCGGGAAAGCTCTCGGTGAAAACCTGGAACGATGGGTTGTGAAGCATGGGGAATTTCCTGTCAACCAAGACGTCATCCGACCCCTTGATAAGCCTCTCAAATCCACAGGACATATAAGGTGTGCTAGCTCTCGTATGGATATTGAAACAGTGCCCATTCTCCTATACTCAGGATTCTGAGGGGAAATCTTGCCCCAGGTGGCGCGGTAGCAAAGATCACCGGGAAGGAAGGGTTTCAATTCAGGGGGACAGCGCGTACCTTCGATGGGGAAGAAGACTTTGTCGCTGCTGTTGAGTCGGGCTTGTTAAAGAAAGGCGAAAAGACTGTTGCGGTTTTGCGGTATCTGGGACCGAAAGGCGGGCCTGGTAAGTCGATTCGTAGCCCATTGACCAATTCACGGCTCATTGTTTCCCATAGGCATGCCTGAGATGCTGAAACCCACTAGCCTGATCATGGGCGCTGGCCTGGGTCAAGATGTAGCCTGTCTTACTGACGGACGTTTTAGTGGAGGGTGAGTGAATTGTTCCCGATGCTGAGTGAACTTCTCCGACCGTCATGGGTGCAGTTCCCACGGATTCGTGATTGGTCATGTTGTGCCAGAGGCCCAGGTCGGGGGCCCCATTGCACTTGTCCGCGACGGAGACACGATTTCTATTGACGCCGTGAAGAATACCATTGACCTGATTGACGTCGATGATGCGGAGCTCGAGAGGCGGAGGACGGAGTGGCAGGCTCCTCCGTTGAAAGTTAGCCAAGGTACTTTGTACAAGTATACAAAAATCGTGGAAGACGCCAGTCATGGGTGTGTAACTGACGCTTGATTGTGCCCTGATCATGTATATGGTGATTATCCATGTCGCAGGATTCAGGACTGTCTGCACGGGTAGTGCCATAATTATTGTATTTAGTCGCTCCACGAAAATTAACGTATGAGGATGTTTGTGCGGTGTGGAACATGCTTCGTAAAACCCATCGGTTCCAAGTGTAGATATTTGTACGCAGTAGGAGGACCCCATAACTGGCTCTATGAATAGATAGGGGGGCCCTTGACTGTCAGTGCATTCCCCGACAGACCCGACTGCTCAGCTGTTAAGTACGACGCAACACGTGACGAGTATGTTTATTAATTCAACGCCAGGACTCGGGCCCATCGCCATTTAGGTGTCTAAGATTTGACCGGGACTGGTTGACCGCCGTACGATCGTCCACGATGCGAGTTTGGTCCAGGGACAGATGGATGCTCTTCTGCGCCAAGGGTCTTTGGGGTCTAGCCGAGTCGGAATTGCGTTCCTCTCGCCCCTTTTGATGAATTGGCTCATGGACGGTTCTTGTACACCGGCTGAAAACTAGCCCCATATGGTGTGTGTTGGGTTGGATGGCAAAACTGCTGTGGCCGGTCGAAATGTCGATAATGCGGCGATTGAGCATCGGGGGGTTGAGACGACATCGGTTCGGGTGGGTTACACTGAGGACGAGCTTGTGTCCCATTGCTAGACCTCCTGCTTTCACGCTCGCTATACTGTGAGTCTGATGGAGATCGGGGCATCAAGTCTGGGGGGGAATCCAAGTCCACTAATTGTGCACTCTACCTCGTGCATCATTATCGATGTGGACTGATGGTGAATCCCAGTCTAGAAAGTACACGGGTGTAGTCCTGAAGTCCCGCGGCACCCGATCCGTCTCATGAGTAGGCTCAGCTGTGGGACCAGGCAGTAGACTGGGCGAGGGGTCGGACAAGGCAGGCGGTCCTGAATGAACATGAGATTCGGGGTGCACAACAAGGTCTTCTCTTGCAATAGGTCCAGAACCGGGGCGAGAAGTGTTCATCCTACGATGAGTGGGACGGGGGGACGGGGTGGTGGAGCCGTTGCAGGATCTTTGGTTCTTTTCCCCGGTCCGCGACGCTTCACTTGCACGTCGTATTCGCATCCTTGGTTTCGCTTAGCGCAGTTACTACATGGGCGGCAACCATCACACTTGAGCTTGCGACCTGAGATGCGTAATAAGATCAGTGCAACCGAGCCATTCACTGAGGCTTTTTGGCTCACGGCGGCAGAAGTGGCAAGCGCTACTAGTCTTCCTCCTCCTGGGAGGACAAACACCGGTGGATGTCTGTATATTACTGCTGATGGTGCTTGGTCCTTGTTCACTGGTGGAAGCCTGGTTTTCCTCCACTGGAGAAGACACATATTCACGTTCCCCCGATGATGCAGAGCTCTCTGAAGTGTTTGGCATAAACCCGAGTCCGTCTTCTGGGCCTTCATCAGGAGACCTGTCCTGCGTATTCAAAGGTGGCAAGGGGGATGACCCGTGCGAGTCGGAAGACAGACGGATCCCCCTTAACCGGGCAGGTGATGGAGGACGTATGTGTGTCGACCAGCCTCTGGAAGCTGGCCAAGTGGGCGTCAGCGGTGGAAGTTGTGAAATCACGTCCGGGATCGAGGGATAGGACGATGGACGTGTCGAGGGAGCATGGTAGATTGGCGTATTAGCTCGGGGAGCTCGCACAGCCTGGGGATTGGGTAGGAGAATACCAGGTAATCTCGTATCACAGAAATCAGGTTGAATCCTTTCATTTGGCTGCGATTGCTGCTGAAAAAGTTGAGCTGATGGGGACCTCGGTAGAAAAGGAGGAAGGGGAAGGTGATTTGGGGGTCGATCAGCAAATGGATCATGGCTAGAAGCGTGCGCTGGAAGTGGCCAAGGGTAAGCACTTCGAATAACACGGGCAATTAAAGATCTCGGACCTAGGAAGTATGGTTGCATGTAGGATGGTGCGGGAGCTGACGTTGAAACGCGTTGGTGTACTGGCGCCTCTTCGAGTCCGTACAATGGAGGAAGGTGTTTGGAATTAATTGGCTGGCTGCTGGCATGATGATGTGGGCCCGGCCTGTCTCTTTCTCTGTGCCGAACTGGTTATTTAGTCAACAACAACGAACTATGATGGTGATATCGAAACTGGACATGCCTGGCTCGTTTGAAACATGGCGCGGTTGGTGGGCTCTGATCTCAGAGTTGTTGTCTGAAAATCCCTGGGGTTGAAGTCGGTGGTGCACTCCTTGTCCCGGCGCGAAGTGTTCTCTCGGACGATCACAAATGGGGAGGTCGATAGGCTCGGGTGCACCGCGGCGATATATACGTGAGTGTTGGTGCGTGGCAGAGGATCCGTACTCAGCGGAAGGGACGTATTGCAACAAGTGGTTTGGAGGCGTGCCTTGAGGCCGGAATACTTGTCTCATCTGCCGCTGATCGGAGGGGCCTGGACCGTCGAGGGTCGCCAATGCAATGTGGCGCTGAGATGAGGAGGACGGAGGGCGTGATCCTTGACCACGTTGAAGATGATGATGTGGATTTCTATCCCAGCTGCCTTCCATGTTTGATGCAGGTTTGGTGGCTTGTTTGCCAAGGGAGCGCAGGTGGCTTGCAGATCAGTGAAACCTATGTGAGACAACCGAATGTAAAGGTGAGCACGTTTGCAAGAACTGCTGGCGGAGGAGCCGATGGAGGTGTTGATGTTGGACTACGTGACAAGGAAAAAAAAATAGGTTGGACCTCGCGTAGACGGAGACGAAAATATTAAAATAGGCGGAACTGTGAATTTCAAGGAACCGATTTTCGGAGCCAACCTTGAACTTCTTATTGATTCCTCTTTGCTTTTCTTGGAAAATGTTCCAGAATGGGCGATGGACGCTGGATAACGTTTCGAGGGAGGAAGGCGGACTATAACATGTCAGGGCGCGTGGCCGATAGACCTGAGACATGGTGTCACAGGTCATGATGGCCTTCTAGTGAGTCACTCACGAGCTTCTCCCGCGAGGACTCATGCGAATCAGCAATGATATCTCGTAAGATGTGGACAGAATCCCTGTCTTGAACGTTCCCGGGTTTCAAGGGCGTGTAGCAGGAATTGTCCAATCCCCAAATAGGCAGTTGTCTCCGTCGGTCCTAACTCAGCGCCGGAAAAAATACCGAAGGGGTTTACGACTCAAATTTATTCCCATCCAGGATCTACTAGTGCATACCCTCTCTCTGACTTCAAGTCCTCGACTAGAAGTTTCCAAAGACTTCGTCATTCGCTCTATAAAGCCTGTCACAAGCTGTGCCCCGTTCACTGTTTGCCGGCAGGCACGCATCCTTAGAAAAACATGAACCATTCCCCGAGATGAATACACGGTACAAATTGGTTCAATTAGGCCTCCACCAGCTCATCACGCGTCAGGTAGCAAGGCTACCGCATTGCATCATGTCCACGATTGGAAGAGATGTTTATTTCCCTTAACTGGTGTGGGAGATTGAGCGGACGGATTGAACCTTGTCGAGAAAGTTGCCAACGACTGCAATGCTGCCGGACCCTTTCGGGTTTCAAGGGTTTGACCTCACAAACCATTGGGTCGATCTACGCTACCCAGCCCGCCCGTGTCGTTTGACCGTCTTCACGTCTCTTTTCTCCAGCGCTGTCTGGATGTCATGATTAGAACAACTTGGCCACAGCGTGGTGCTGTTGTGTTGTTCCCTCGCGGTGAGACCCTGAACTGCGCAGGGCTTGAAGGGTTTTCACAGTATCAATATTAGTGCGGTGATTTCAGAGCCGGTTATGGCATTCCTGAGACATCTTATTTATGCGTTATTCCACTTCAATTTCCTTTCGTCATTTCATGGCAGACTTAGCTAACTTTTTTTGGTTGTGACATCTCCTTCTGATCGCCAATTCGAGAATTGCGAGAATTGCGAAAAACATCCTGCGGTCGGGGGTTGTTAATTCTCTTCCGTGATGCTCTCATGTACTTTGGTATAGGAGGTGCGCGCGCAGTGGAAGCACTTGTGCCAAAAAACACTCGTCAAACCTAGCTGGAACACTTTAAAACGTGCGCGCCTGAAGGCCTAGGTACGTTAGGCAGGAACATGTGCTTATCACGTAGCCAATATAAGTGGGCAGCAGAACGTCAAGGATTGGCTGAGTGCCGACTCGACTTACATGGAAGTGGACGCTGAGATTCCACTAAATGGAAAGGCGGGAAGCTCAGGCAATACAGAGAAAAAGGGGGTTAGGCCGGAGGCGAGAATGGCCCGTTTCCGGCAAGGATTATTGGCCGGTCCTGAATGAATATATTGTCTGCTAGGTTCAAGCTGCGCTGAGTCGAGGCAAGCGCACGGAAACTCGAGATAGCCTCGTGGCAAGGCACGCGGTCATAAACAAATGCTCAGGGAAGGTACATAGTTCGAGATCTGCAACCGGAAGCGCCGCCATGGGTCGGAGACAGTGGAGATCCAACCCGACCCTTTCCGGAATCGAAATAATATTACTTTCTTGTAATCTTTACCGGAAAAAGGGTTAGTTTTCCTTTGCCTGCTATCTCCTTTGAGTGAGATTCAATGCCTTTCTGGCCGCGGTCGGCCTATTGTCCCTGCTTTTCATTTGCCTCAGCTGCGCTGCCCGCTATCTCCACTGTGAGCGAGATTGAGGAAAGCCAACCTTGCTATGGATCACTGCCTTCCCGCAATCCTCACTTCAGGGAGTGGGGTGGGTTTATTGTACATCTCCTTAATGCTCTCCTTGTACGTGCCGCCAGCTGCGCTGCTCGCCATCTCCACTTTATGGGTGAGATTTATAATTTGGCGAAAACCACCTTCGCTGGGGGTTGGCATATCGTTCCTTGCGTCTTTTGCCGGCTTGTACTGACCCACTTTGTGAGTGAGATTTAGTCTTGCCTGTGATTCTCGCCGGAAACATGCAGGGTCGGCTCATTGGCCCTCCCTGCTTTGATTTGTCCCCCCTGCGCTGCCCGTTATTGGCCCGTTATCTCAGGCTGGTGAGTGGAATTTAGCGAAGGTCGGGATCATGTTATGTCTAACGTACTTGCCCCTGTTTGTGTTGGAGCCCGCCTCTTTGCTCCAGTCGTCACACCGTTTTCATTACGCAAAACTCTTCCCAGTAACTTCTCGCTTGCGCTTCTTTCCTGCCTTGTGTTAGTTTGCCTAGATTTTTATGCTTTCTTCCTTTCCTAGTACCCTTTGTATGTGTGGGATACGCGTTGCCAGCATCTCAGCCTAACCAGGCAGTCTCGGGTTAAATAAACAACATTTTAACTTCTCCACCAAATTGCCCAGCAACGCAAACATCAATTTCTTTGAGCTCAGGAGATCCGCCATATATATTTCATGATAACACGTTGCTGCTTTGAATGAAATGAAGTCCACAGCTGCAGTTGCAGCAGCAGCAATCTGCAATATGTCCGGCCCGTTATCTTTAGTTTTAGAGTGCCAGGATAGCTGCACTGCGACGCGGCCGCGGGGCAACAACTGTATTATTCTCTTTATGCGACGGGCACGCGACTCGTGTAGCTCGCGTATAAGAAGGGAGCTTTTTAGTCTCCCCCTCCCTCAGACTTCTATCTAGTACGAGTCTGAGGTGAGATTGATTTTATTATTCTTTACAAAAATTGTCTAACTGTATACTAATTACTTACCGCCATTGCCTTATATTTAAAAACAACAACAACAAACACGTCCAGCCAGATATGGCAATTCGCTACTCAGCGGAGACTTTACTGATGATTTTGCTCGACGCACGTCTGCGCGTGTTTATATGTACGGCGAATGTATTGAAATGTGAATACAGGTAAAATATTCGACTGCGCAAGCGCTGACCGAGGAAGAATATTCTCGGTTGTTGTACTCTACTTATTTTGTTACCCGCGGCCTCGTGTCAACGTGGCAGTGCGGCCATCCCAACTCGCTACAGCGTGTGTACATGAGGGGATCATCCTTACATGACATGGGTGGTGTCTTCGGGTGAGTGGGATCCTCGGGAGTTGTGTCGTCGGGGGGGGGGGGGGGGGAGAATATTCTCGGTGACTCGTCCATTTCGACAAAATGCGTAAAAACTATAGCTGTTAAGGCTCGAGTATCGCAATGTTGCTTGCTGTCGAAGTACTCGATGACGCACTAGGCAGGTGACCAGCCTCTCGGATGAATGACGCACCAGACTGTGATTTAGGTCGTAACACGTGATGGCCGCGTTGATTCGGAGTGGCTGTGCTGGTCTAGAAAGGTCTCGGATCACGCCATTTGGGCTCAACCGTAAGCCAGTAACTGGCGCTGCACCACTTCCCCAACTCTGCAATTGTGGAAATCTGGTTGCTCCTATTAATTTGATTTGGCATCTCGTTCAGCCTTTTCCCTCTGAGTGACTCAGCGGCCATGAGGAAGTTACGTGTTAGAGCTGGATCTGCTCCAGTAATGCCAGAAATTATTCATCCTGTGAAGTTACTCATCCCCCACGATGTTGTGGAAAATATAGTGGCTTTCGCTGATACGCAAACGCTCAAGGCGCTCTCACTTGTCTCTCAGGAGTTGAGGGCACTCTGCAATCGCTTTCTCTGGAGGGAATGGTCTGTAGATATGCGAGAGGATGCATATGACTCTCAGGTGGTCAAGTGGATTCTTCTCTCTGACCGAGCGACCTATGTCCATCGATTATCTATCACCTTGCCGCGAACCGTGTTGTTCTCTTCACTCCCACATGATGCTTCCATGTCCAAACAAAACAAATTTCCGCCGCTGGAGCCGTACCTGAAAGGACTTCTTTCCCGTGCTACCCACTTGCGTTGTATTACTATAAATTGTTGTCAAGATCGAGCCCTTATCAGCCCCTCCCATCCCGCCGTTCAGCAAGACCGGTTTATCACTTTAATGATGTCTGGAATTAGCCAAGAAACACACCCTCACCTATCCTCACTGGGATTGATATCAATCAACCCGCACGTATGCAAGGAGGTTCTGCAACGAAACCTCAATTTGAAGAGGCTCGAACTCGACGTGGCATTTCCCATTGAGCGCCAAGCGAGTCAAACCCCTATTTCACTTCCAGACCTCAGTCACCTGTCCTTAGGATACAACGGAGTGTGTGGCATGTTTGGCGAGTGTCCTTCACTTATCCAGCTCTGCGTGTTTGTGAGTCCTGAGCTAGTTTTATTCCAACAAGCTGAGACGATCTGAAGGAATGGTTGATTGCCTGTGTTCAGCGCGTAGAGCTAAACTTTAGGGATTATCTTAATTTCATAAAACTTAACCCAAAAGTCCGGATACTCAAATTAGTCTTCAACGGTCACTGGTGGCAAAATTCGGAGCTGGAGGGAAACATGATCCATACATTCTCATCCCTGACATCTTTGGAAGAGTTGGAATTATGGGGAATGGTGGATGGTTTTGCGGAAGCGAAGGGGTTTTTGGAGGGTATTTGCAGCCATCCTTCCGCGCCCCATGCACTAAAACAGGTCACTTTCGTTTGGTGGCACGGTGACGGCAGTGTGAAATTAACCTATCGAATCCGGGATGTGGGGAAGCCCTGGGCTTTGGAACACATAAGAGCTCAAAGACCTGCCGTGAAAAACCCTCCTTCGCTCCATCAAATCGGGTGAAACATCGCCTGTATGCTTCCTATGACGCGCCAGAGTAGTCGTGCCGGGCTCGTGCCAACGGGCACAAGTGGGCATACATTCTCAATGAATTCTCATCGTAACCAGTTTCAAGTAATAATCTTCCCTCAATCTCTATCCTCATCTACTCCCCCGAGGATCTCTGGCGTCTCCTTGCGGTTTACTTTTTTGGGTTTCAGGGACTTCCAAGTCACTTGCTTACCATCTATCCTGCAGGCATCGAAATTCACGTTGTTACCTTACCTTGTTTTGTATTACACCGACGCCAGCGGGACTTGCTGCATGCCCCTCTTCCATTACGATTCCCAGAGCACATCTTCAGGGTTGCATAATTCATGAAAGATAATGAAAACATCCGCGTTTCTCGTGGGTTTAGTTAGAGCTGAGTTGTCTTTCCGCATGGATCGGGACATGGTTGGCAGTGGTTCACTCATTTGTCCCGTGGAGCCAGGAGAGAGGAAGGAATCCCTGGTGATTGCGTAGAAGATGGACGTCGAGCTCCACATGCGATGTCGGCTCACCGGCAGGCAGAAGGGAATGCGTTGTAAGCAGGAAGGAGGACACTGAACTAGCCAGGATCCCAGCCTCCACTAAAGTAGAACACTGAACAGCTGGGGATAATATCGACGACAGTGCAACCTTCGTGAGCCTGAGCTAGAGGCGGGTTCCATCTTTGTGGGCCCAAGGGGAAGTATAACTTGATTGTACTCTTATGTCAGAAACCCTGCTCGAGTGATGGCTTCGGAGTATTTTTGGCTGCGGTACGTAACAAGGGGAGTGACGGAATCCTTCCATTACCCTCTCAATCCTTGGGGGCCACTTCGGATTTCGAGCGTGGTGTCTCCAGGGCCGGACAATACGGCGGGATTTGATGGAAGAGAAATGGGAAGATTGCGGTAGTATCGGTCAGTGCTTCAAGGGGAACAGGAGCCAATAGGCGAGCCTAGTTGTCACCAATCTACAAGGTTCAGTTAGGCGGCGATGCCGATTGTCATGTCCATATTGTAAAACCAAGCAGCCGGCCCGGGATTACTTGCAAGCGCGACAATATTAATGACATAGATTCTGAGAGCCGACGAGATGACATAGACGTTGGCAGCTAACCGAACCGGAAGTTCATGCTTACGAACGGATTTCGGGTCACCCAAGAACTGAAGAGGGCGTGTATTCAATGACTCCCCACCATTATCCGCCAGCATTAGGAATAGGTAGGGAAAGAGACGGAAGATACGTTGTTCCTCTCATACCGCAACCGTACTTAACGAATTGGATATATGGGCAGTTCGCCTCTACCTCAAGTTGTGAAGGCCACCAAGACCGAACGAATGTAGCAGGTTATCCCAATGGGCGAACTTCATCGGTTATGAAAGTGAAGGTTCTCACTCAGCGTACTGTGGTCCGGCGTGTCAACGATCTTCTACCTCTCGGGGGTGCATGGGCGCACCCACTTGTAGTGCGTAAGTAAATGCACATTTTCAGTGTAAAAAATTACCTAATTGTGGGCTGGGGAAGTGACTCTGCTGTGCAGGTAATCTATGTCAAATACAAGGCTATAAAATATTAGAGCAGTTAGCTAATGCTGCGCAACCCCGTTATCCAAATTCTCAGAAACCCATCAAAACGTTCCATCCGAAAAATCGCTCCTGTGTTTTTTCCCAAACACTCGGGTGCCAAATTTTTAGCCGATTCCATCCAGCTGTTGGGGTGAAAAGTGGGGATGAAGTTCAGCTGCCTAGAATTTAAAATAAACGAGGCTATCTACAATTAACACCTTCCAATCGCCTGGAAAGTTTATTACTTTTTCCCTTTCGTTTGCTTGATCTTCTTCTTCTTCTCAGCTTTAGGCATCTTGTTCTTCCTTTTCTCCCTAGCTGCCTCCTTTACTGCCTTTTTATGCGTCTAGCAGTCGAGTACCCGATGTTAATGAATATGCTTAGTATGCCACTGCGAAGAATCTCATACCTTGCTTGCCTCTCTGTCCGCGTATCGACGTCCACGGGGTTTACGACGTTTATCTCCATCTTCGTCTTCATCCTCATCCTCGTCGTCATCGTCTCCACTTTCGTCATCCTCATCGCTTACCTCCGACTCACTCTCGTCAGCAACGGGCGCCCGGTTCGCTTCCACTACGCCCGTGATATTTCCATAGATAAGCTCGTCGCCTTCACCACGTTGAAGTTTCCTGACATCTCTCTCAGGATCGAACACTTCGTTGAGGGTACGTGGAATGTAGGAATGCATGAAAACGGCATCCTCCAGGGCTTCATCGCCAGCCGACGTTGGGGGAGGGATGGGAAGGTTGGATTTGGCGGGAGCTGCAGGTGGTGGTGGTGGTGGTAATGATGATGATGGCTGCGGTTCGGATATCCGGACTTGTTTTCGTTGTTCAAAGGTGGCAGAAGGAGGAGGCTTCACTGACGAGGGGTCTATCGGTGGCGGAGATGACACCACCGTTTCGGAAGCTGTGGTAGAGTCATGCTGTATTTGCAGCTCCTCCGTTTCCTGGAGGCGCAATACCTCTGCTCTAATATACTCTTCAAGACGTTCATTCGTTTCTTCCTCTCCATTCGACAACACCTGATCCGAAACCACAAAATCGAATGTTCGTCGTAATCCGAGCGTCTGAATTCCTCTTCTGGTCCAAAACTCATCCACGTTCCTGATATCTGCACGCAAGAAATCGAATGCAGATGGATGATCGTGCTCGACGGATTGTGAGACATCGATTACATAAAGATGGGAGTTGTGGTAGCTGGGAAGTTAATATGCGATAACCAAATTGGGATGAGAAAGGAGTTTTTTTCCATCCGGTTGAGGGTACGTTGTGGACTCACAGCAGATTGTATTCGCTTAAATCGGCATGGACCAGTCTGCATGAATGGTACAGTCGTCGAACAATGATCACCAACTCTACGTATAACGCCTCAGCATCACCAGCTGGGACGTGCGCATCCTTCAATCGGGGAGAAGCCCTATCTAAACGGTCAATTTACTCTTGACCAGCCAAACAAGAAGCGAAAGAACACTCACCACCCCTCCTTATCGCCCAAAAAAGTCATCACGAGCACGTTCTGCTTAACCTCCAAAACCTCCGGACAAGGGATCCCTGCATTAGCTAGCCTCCTCAGATTCCTCATTTCCTTCTCGGCCCACACCCGAACCATTTTACGTGGATTGTGACGACTGTATCCGCTTTTGAATCGATATTCTCCAGTGACATATTTGTCTCGATCTTTGAAGACGAGAATGGAGGTTTTATAGATTTTTAAGGCGATATGACGACCTTGGGGTGTTAGAGCGTGGTAGACGTTTGCCTAGTAAATAAATGAGATAGTGTGTACTTTGGGAAGGCTTAGAGTATTATAACAGGGAAGAAAGTATGGAGCGGATGATGGGGGTTAAAACATTTCGGTTACCTACCTCTTTCCCCGTACTAACACACCCATTGATCTCCTCGATCAACCCTTTGTTAATCATCTTGAACAAGATAATTCTCGTTCTGGGATCCAAGACCTGCTCGTTCGTTGCACGGTCTGATTTATCCTTAATGGGTAAACGATCATTGGCCGCCTTCGGATTGGCTGCTACACCGGCCAGGCCGTGATAGGGAAGAGCGAGGTTGGCTATGCGGGAATTGTACTTTGCTAGGGCTGTCAGTTGGTCAGTTTGGAGTTTCCTTTGTTTGGTCGAGGGCGTGGACGCGTCTGTTGTGCCAGATGTCGCGTTAACGTGAGGCTGGGGTGGTCGTGGTCGGTTTGTTGCGGGCATGGGCATTGTCGACGTACGAGGCTTTGCAGAGTCGGTTGTTTGGCCTGTTCGAACCTCGAGAGCCTGCCGTAAACGATTGTATGATTTTGTGAAATCTGGGCCATAGAATGTTAGGGCGGTTGTAACAGTAGTAAGCTAGATTCTACGAGGATGGAATCTCGTACCTCGATCGGCCAATTCCCAATCTTCAGCATCCACACGCGCCAAAGATTCCTCCCATGTTTCCGCCTCGAGTTGAGAGTCGTAGTCAGTGGACAAATCGTTATCAGAAAAGCCGTCTAGATCGCCATCGCTCGCTAAATCAAGGGCAGCATTATTTGACGGTAAATCAACGTGACCGTCAGCAGGTGCAAAGGCCTCGGCATCATGGGACAGCCCAGGCCTACTTTTGTCCAGAACGTTGTCCATAGTCGTCTAAGTACTTAATCGACTTTCAGTCAAGCCTGTCCTGTGGAGAGAGGCCGGGTCACCTGCCTATGTCTTGTGGCCAAAATTAAACAGAATCCACTGGAAGGATGGCTCCATTCAATTGGAGTCACACGTGACCCGTTTCCAAAACGAATCAGACGGTCAAGCCGTCATGAATACCAACAGGGAAGAGTTGTCAAAGCTCCTCAAGGCGGCTGAGACGCTTACGGGCCCGGCAGATGGTCAAGAAAAAGCCCAGGCAAAGGATATGGCAGATGTGCTAGGGCGTCGATTAGAGGCTGCGTGTGTTGTTCTCAGTAATGACTTCACCGTGGCTTCAAGCGATAAGCTCGTTCTGCAAAAAGCGACGGCAGACTATGCGCTCTGTCTGTTGGAGCGTATACAGGGCCTCCTGGATGTGGATCAAGGCATTGGTGGTAAGGCATATGTCTCGAGTTTTCGTTTTCTGCCTTGGGGATGTGGGCAGGGATGATTGACAAGGATTTTTTCTTTAGCTGCTCCTCCATTGATCGGCACGCGCGATATGGGTCTGATTAGGATGCTACTATCCATCGTGTTCAAGTGGGGAGTGGAACAACAACTTGTTCAGCTCTGGAAGAGTGAACCAAGAGATCCAGCATCAGGCTCACCTCCCTCAGCGCAACAACCCATGGAGATCGATCCAACGAACCACCGCGTGGACCTGAATAAGGCCGCTACTCGCATCTATGAACTAGTCTTTCGTAATAAGGCGCCGATCAAGGCAGAGCCGAGTCTTGCAAACGGCGTCGGACATCAAAGCAATTCGTTGCGACAGACACATATCACACAAGTATTGTTGACACGACACGCGACAGATATGCTGCGCCCCGCAATATACCTGGGGTGGCACGATGGCACCCAAACTGCAACAGTCGACTCTGGCGTGGCGGTTCAGATGACGACATACACCAGACGTCTGCTCAATATGTAAGTCGCGTGTGAAGCCCGGCTAAATGAGGAGGACTAATATAGTATACCTGTCCCTGTAGGTTGCCAGCCGCGCAAACGATAGCGTCGTTAGGCGGTATTATGTCACCGCCGCCTTCCTTCCCATCTCCGCCAGCATCGTTGTTGAAGGGGTGTTCAAACTTGCTCACTCAGCAACTACTAAGGCCGGACGGAGTGATTGGATTGTTCTCCGCTGTGCTCGGTGATGTTGAGGAAGGGGTCAACGGTGAGTTTGTTGTTTGCTCCGAGGGGTGTCGTTCTCTTTTCCCTCTTTTTCCTCGGAACCCCGTCGTCATTTCGTCATTGCAATAATCCATATCAAATTGATTTGCCTCCGCGATGATTCGCCTTTTTTTTATTTTATAACTCTATTCTCACTGTCTGGTTTTTTTCCCACGTAGATGCACCCCTGGCGCGTCTAGAACACATCGCTCAAATCTTGAGCACTCCCCCAAAAGTTTTATCCAAGGCTGTACGTCATCCAACGTGCGAGCTTTCTCACTGATCTCACTTTCATCCTTACATCCATCAAGGCTTATTTTCGCACAATCATTCCTCGACTGCTTCCCCTCTTGCTTTCTCCAGACAACGCCAACAACGATGGCTCAACTCCGGTACAGAATCCGTCTGAGGCACAAATCAAAGTCATCCCAAGACCATTCATCAGAGGCGCAGCATTCGCCCTCGCTCGCATCTTGACTCGCCCTTCCACCGCAGAAGCTGCATCAAATTTGCTCTTGTCGTGCGTTCATTCACCCTTTCTTCCCAAACCGTCTCCCTCCTTGGCTACTTCCTCAGATTCCGACTCACTCCCACCGTTCAAGACTGTACATTCATCCATCAGATTCCTCGCTGCTTTTATTCTTAACACCGACCCATCACCAACACTCATCTCGTTTCTGATCACTCCTGTGCTCGTGCCCTTGTATTATCTGACCGAGTTTTTTGATACCCACCCACGTGTGGTATTAAAGAGTCCGGAGGTGAAAGAGATGACGCAAGGACTGATCAGAACTTGGGCCAGGGTCATCAGCACTCTCGACGCTCGAAATGGTTGGTGGGACGTGATCACCGGAACCGGTGGTTGGTCATCCTCGCCCTCATCAAGCACGTCTCATCCCGAATTTTCCGTTGACGAGGAAGATCAGGTTTGGAATGAATGGGCCGCTATCGGCGGCGAACTTGTCATCCAACAGCGAAAGTAAGTGAAGCTCTCGTAACCGCGGACCCAGGGGCGATAGGGCCGATCGTGCTTCCTTACCTTGTGGAGGCTAATTCATTTCTTCCGTTTTCGATATTGTGCCTGAAGATCGTCGCTCCTTCCCGACGTCAGCAAACTTCTTGGGAAAAAAGGTTCCTCGACGGCAGGACCGCTCGAAATACGGCCTAATCCAGTCCACTTTGTTAGCTTACTCAAAGGTTTCGACCGTAAAGAAGTGACTGGGGCGATCTTCATCCGCACGCTGGATGAGTACAGTGCTTTGCGACAATCATCCCATTTGCGTAGGAGGGCTGGTGGTGACTCGGTCCGGTACGTTCGGTAAGGATCTGAAGGCGATCTAGCTTAATTAATTCTATTTACCCTAGGGCAATGCTTTGTCTCTCGATCGTGCTTGAGATGATTCAGCAGTTGGACACGTCTGTGATATCGCAGACGCACCATATCTTGGGATTTATATCTCATGCTCTCGAGCCTGCTGCAATGGATTCAATGTCTCGGGCTGGGCGTGGTATCAGCCGACGGAAGGCCGAGGGCTCCACCGACAAAGCACGTTTGACTCTCGATGATCTCAAGATCGTCCATGACGAGAGCGATTTCTCTGATGATGACATGGACGGAGGGGATAGTGATGATGAGAGTGATGAAACTATTGATGACAGTAGGCCATTGGTTAAAGGGGGTGACGATGAGATGGCGTTTACTGCTATCAACCTGCTCTTGAGCCTCCTCGAAGGTACGAATGGTCTCTAACGCCATGAGATTTCGCGATTAATTAGGTCCACCTTTGAATTAGCAAATCCCGATCTGACACCCCAAACCTCACCCATATTGCTCGTAATCTTCCACAATCTCGAAACACTGATGGACCACCTCTCACCATCAATTCGTAAGCCAGCACTTGAAGCTCGGCTAGTCATCACGACTCGCTCCTCTATCATCCCCCCTCCTTCACCTACATCAACAACCGGCTCATACCGAGCAAACTCGGACGGCGACGAAGATCCTCCAGGAGGTCGACAAGGGACAGTAAAAGAGGGTCCCCGAACAGATCAACAGTCGATCTATCAAGAAGCACTTCGGCTGATTCAAGATCCTATCTTACCAGTGCGGGCATATGGATTAACAATGCTCAGACAACTTATTGTTCCTTCTGTTTCTTCCAATGCCAAGCCACCTTACTCGAACACCCTTTCAGCGGAACACGCGCTGATCCCTGCTATTCTATCTATTTTTATTGAAGCCGTCCAGGATGATGATTCATTTATTTTTCTCCATGCGGTGCGAGGTCTTGCTGCTTTGGGGACCGTGTCGGGTGGTGTGGGGAAAGAGGTTGTTCGGAGGTTGGTGAGTGTTTACGTGGGCGGGCTGAAAGTCGGCAGGGGAGGTGGAGAGATGAGTAAGCGCGAGATGGACAAGAGATTGAGGATTGGTGAGGCTCTTGAACAGGTCGTAAGGAGGACAGGAGGAGCGTTAGGCGGTCATTGTGAGCCACCCCTTTTTTCCGTTCATTCTGGGATAACTAAAGGCCCCTTGAAATCAGCCGAAACGATCATACCTCCTCTTATTCTGGTGTTCCGATCTACACACGCTCCAACGACACTTCGAACATCTGCTCTTTCAGTGCTTGCTTTATGTGCAGATGCAGCTCCGGATGCAATCCTTACATGGAGTGGAGAGTTGACTTCTGCTCTCGTGGACCTCTTACAAGTTGAGAGTGTCCCGACGAAACTGAAACAAACAGAACCACCGGACCCGCCTGCGTTGGGATCTCGACATGCCCCTGTGGGGTCCTCTGGCGCTGCATCTGCGACTCCGTCATGTCCCAATCGCAAGAAGAGCCTCGTAACTGTCCCGACTAATGGGAAGACAACCTCGTTAAGGAGTGACGGAAAATCGGCATCGTCTTCAACCGCGAGACATGACTATGAAGACTCTGTCCCACCTTTAACGAAAAGCGCAAAGATTCCATCGTTCCGTCGTGCAGCGCTTCATTTCATTGCGCTACTCATTCGAACATGGCTATCCCGCTCTTATGATAGTTCGTCCGTGAACGGCGCTTCATTCTCGGGCCCACAAGGTATCGGATTAGAAACGTTGTCAGTGCCCTCTAAGAGGGATATTCCTCACGCGAAGGGTCCGTCGAAATCAGGCGATCCGATGGACGAAGACACCAAGCGGTTGAATAATGTCTTGAGGTACGTCCGCATGACGGATGAGGATGGGCTGGTGAGGATTCAGGCAGGGGAGTGCGTTGAGCTTTTGGAGGATTTGGTAAAGTATCGTTTGGGAATGGTTTAGACTCTCTCGCAATCAAGTACGGCGCACTACAACACAAACCTATACTTCGCAGTGAAGTCACACGTCCGAGGAGGGGGGGGAGGAAGGACTTGTGCTGATCTGTTTACTTGTTTTCTTTTATACCGCGCATCTGTGCAGTCTTATGGTCTACGGTCCGGTTTGCAAACCGCAATCTTTTTCTTGGTTCCTAAAGCACAAATAATAATCCCATCGTACGTCTCGTCTCGTCTTTGTCTTTTTTTTTCTTGTAGTCCCTTCCAACCCATTCTCATCCCATTCCACATCTATCAAATTTTTTTCTTGGTTTTCGTTTTTCTGAGCTTTGTAACAAACCGTCACCGCCAGCCGATGATGTTTGTAGTTTGATGATATGCTTGCTCTCTTCATGCACTCGTGCATCTCTCTTGTCGTTGCTGCTTCTGTAATGTCTGTTCCGATCACACGTTGTATTTGTACCTACTTGGCATCTAAATACATTGCTTGTCGCGTCGCGCGTCACTCGGGGTTGCCCTTGAATCCAATTGTTACGGCGATTTTTTCACAGCGGTCCTTTTCCCGAGGTTTGCGTACATCCAGTCCTCTCACCCTGGGCATATATGGACAGGTGAGAATGGGCACGAGCCCCATCTTTCTGCCTAGCGAAACGAAGTGATTGTACGGAACGAGTTGAGGGATACTTGATACGTTACGTAAGCGATCCTTTGTGCATATACGTGAACCCCATTTGGGTGCCTGAACCTTGTCCAAAACTCGCGGCTTCTAGCTCTCTTGCGTCCACCCGCAGGGAGAGGACGCAAGTGCAGATCGAGTACGTACGGGACTCGCTGATTGCAACAACTGCCTGCCGCCTTGATACTCGACCAACCTATGCCCAACTAGCTCATTGCATGTGGGGCTCGACGTCATTACTCGAGAACTCTGGTCATTCCGATACAAATTTTTTGCCTCAAGATGATATGCTGTTTGAGCCTATCCCCATACTGGGAAATCATCAAAAGAGCGCGCGCATTCAGACTGTGAAAATCCTCGTGTTATTGATAACTTAATGGGGCACAACGACATAGCCTGGCTTATTTTTGAAATAGTCACACCTACGTTCAACGAAAACCCGCCTACATTGCCAATAGTATTGCGTGGCGCTGGTTAATAGCCAGCTAACTGTAAAGTGGTTGTCACGATGAACCGTTTCATCGAGTGTTGAACGCCCCCGTGGAGAACGCCAAAACCAATGCTTGAGTATCATACCACTATACCAATTCACTGTCATTTGTTGAAGAAACGGAGGGGTTTCCCACTCTGATTATCACCCAGTGATCCCGACGTCTAGTGAGGCGTTCCTTTCTCTCGGTGAAACGTGGAGACTGAAGATGAGAGAACCTTCAAGCTGTGAGCAGTCCGTCTCGACCAATCATTTCCCTTCCCCTTAGAGCATGCACGTATGTATTTCTTTTCTGGAAACCGGATTACCAATTAAGGATAACGAGAGTACAAACAAGCGCTGGATCCTTTTAAAGTTTGCGTGCAGTTGTAGTCCCGTTCTAGCGGTTCCGCAGCAAGACCTTGAGGGATGTTGATTCCGAGATCTCGGCGGATGTGACACTGAAAATGCTGAGCATGAGGTTGCAGGTGTATACGGATGATCAGAGTTCACGTCTCAAAAGTATGGAAGTCGACGCTTAGTGTGCGTCGCGCAGTGCTCGCGCCGCTGTATCTTGCCACTATATATACGTGTTTCAAAGGTGTCAGCGCGTCCAAGTCTAGCTCTGATATCATAATACTGGATGATCGTCGGGGTTTAAAAATTGGAATCAATCGATGAAATTGCGTGGTACTATGCATTTGTAAAATTGTGTCCCCCCCCCCTTTCGTCATGACTCGTTTCTCCTTTCCAAACTCTGTTGTGGCGGCATCTTGACGGCAGGATTTACGAGGCACAAGGAAATGAAGGCCACAAGCAACAAACCTGCACCTGTCAAGAACATCATGCGCGGAAAGAACCCAACGGTACACGCGTAGACCTCCCCCATAAGGAGCGGCTATTGAAGGACGAATATAATTTCAATTATCTTGACCTTTTTGGAAGCACAACCTGACTGAAACGACGTACCCCGATGATCGTTTGCCCGACTGCCTGTAGTACGCTTATCGCCCCAAACACCTCCCCTACCCCAACATTTTCGACATTCGCCACCTCCGCCGAATCTTCTTCATCATCGAACGAGACAGAAGCATTCTCATTCCTGCTACCGGCATCCATAGGAGCATCACCATCACGAGCGGCGGAAAAAAACGACTGTAGTAGCATGTTCTTCACGTCCACGGTGGTCCACTAAGGCTAAAGCTAAGCTTTGGGAGGCGGGTGGCATGCCCCCGCCGAGGCTACTCAAGCCAGTGGTGATGATAAATGCAGTTTGGGAGGATGTAATACCGGTGAGTGTGAATGCGATCGTGTCGCATAGCACGGATAGCTGGGCAAGACGGAGATCGAAGCGTATGATGGGGAGCAAGTATGTTCTGCGGTGTGCGGCAGTGATTGCATTTACTGAAGTGGTGGTGGTGGTGGTGGTGGTGTGTCCGGTTGCGGCCTCTGGTTTGGGTTTGGGAAGGCGAGGCTTGAATGCTTGAATAAGAGCTTCATGACGCATATTAAACGCGATGGTCGTTATTCTCGGGCCCATATATATAACTTACCAGGAAGAGCGACCACTAGCCAAAAGGCGCGAACAGCTGCAACTGTCATTATGTAATACCCAAGCTACAAAGACGATGAATGAGATGGTAAGAAAAAGAAAAGAAAAAGTCGTAAAAGTGTCCACATGCCTCCTCCGGTGTCCAGTTGTAAACGTGTTCCGCATACAAGTACTTGTTTGGAAAAATCCCCTGGAAAAGAGGCGCGTGAGCAAAATTCATTAAGTTTGAAAAAAAAACACAGGACATGTCACCAACCATACTGAGATATGCACACCATAACGCTATACCAATCAGCGTCAGATCCCAGTCCCACCGCCAGAAAGGCTTCCGCCTTGGAATCCCTGATTCATCGGAACCACCATATTCAGGAGACACCCTTGGCGCGAGGACCGACAACGGCGCCAGGAATCTGAATACCTTCCTCAAGCTACGACGCAAACGCAAATAGCAGTAGTAGTGATCACGAGGGTACTGAGAAAGCTCAGTCATCCATTGTGCCGATTCTTTCTTTTTCCGCGCTTCTCGTCCTATACGCAGGCGTTCCTTCTCCTCGGGATCGAGGCTCTCGGGGAGTGCAAAAGTGACGTAAATCAATACGATGAGATTGGAAAACAAGGCAAGGTAAAAGTTGTTCGACAACTCTGGTGAGTCCGAGATGCGTAGAAACGCTGAGCCTATGGCTGGTCCGATGGCAATACCCCCATAGTAGAGTCCTCCATATGAGGAGAACAAGCCAGCTCTGAGAGGGATGGGCGACAAGCCATTAAGGCACAGTAAGTAGGCTGCGCATGGAAAAAAAAAAAACCAAAAAAGGGGGGTACAGTCACCTGGCACCTGGTTCTGAGCAGTCTGAGATGTAGGCGTTCATAGTAGCGAAAAAAGTCGCCCAGCTCCCCATTAAACCTTCAACTATGGCGCCGAAGACGACCAGAATACGGGCAGCACGTGGTGACGTTGCGAATTGTGGACTACAAACTACCGAGAACATGAGGTCCCTGAAGTTCCAGAAACGGCCCAAAGAACCCAAAAAAAAAAAAAAAAAGTTCTCAAAAAACCCCCCCAACAGTGCTGAAAAAAAAGGGGGAGGGGGCACATACCAAAACATCAAACCCAAAATTAGAAAAGTCATCACTCGAGTGCGCCCATACTTGTCGCCTATTTTTACATCGGCCTCAATGGAGCAACGATAATAAATCGGAATACTACCTTACCCGAGGTACCCCAGAAGCCAGTAGTAACAGCGCTAAGAGCTCCGTTGAGAGTCAATGCTAGAGCCTGTAACTCGGCAGCAGACGCCTGAACAGTAGGAGAAGCTACGCAATCCTTCGAAGGAGAGAATGATGGCATGGAAGTGGTAGGTAGTTGGATATTTGGGAGATATACTTCATGCCCTGGAGATCGTAAGCTGGGTACAGAATGATCCAAGGCATAAGGGGTCGAGTGCATATCAGGGGCCGAATCGTATTTATTGACGCTCTCTTTGCACGCTACGAGGTGGTGCATAGGAATAAGTCATACAGGACGCCCAACTGACTGATCGACGCGGGATCACCTATATCCATGTATACTTGGACACGAGAACCGATAGTAATTCCACGCTGTGGTACACATAAGCCACAGCTTTATGGCCATTATTCGAGTACAACGCACGGATATCGACAAAATTATCACGAATGGTACCAAGTAAGCCACCAGAGGTTTTCTTCGCGTCGCTGGCACGTTGCAGTCCTCAACCACGGAGGTGCGCGGAAGCAATCGACTTGATTCATCCATTGTGGTGTGGATGTCGCGTTATGGGGACTCTTTTGCGACCAAGGGGCTGGTTTAACGCAGCTAGACCACCCTTCGCACTGACACGTGATGCTAAATTTATTTGAATGAGTACTGTCAATGTCAGCGGGGAGAATACTCCGGCATGTGCTCACAGTATCCTCCCCATGGGACGATACTGAAGCTCGCGAGGACGGCCCCCGGGTATGCACGGAAGTGTACTATGTAATTCGTCGTTTCTCCTAGCAACAAGGTTCCACCATAAGGGCTGCTTCTCACTAGAGTGTTCGCCTCGGGGACGCAAGCACCCCCAAATGAGTTATCAGACAAATTTCACGCTACATACTTAAAAACTCGATTGGTAATGCTGCTTTCAAATTACTTACATATTTTTCCAGAGCGGATCTGATCGGAAGACCGAGGCCGCCGCCCAAACACCTCCCTGAGGTTGGAATTACATAGCAGCCGCCAACCCGAAACGCGTGGAGCGCCCCAGCCGCAATTTGGAATTCAATTGTCTTGTGAGTTCACGTTCATAAGTAATTGGCCGGTCCGTATTTTGCCGCTCAGGAAAGTAAGCAGTATACATATTATCATGTGTGAGATGATGTCAGTTCGGACACAAATTTATCCCCTCGTTCGGGTACGGGCTCCAGGGACATGCCTAAACCTTCTTGAGGTTGTTGCGGGTAACCCATGCATACGGTTCACTGAGCATGTGGACCTAAACCAGTATAAGTAACCATTGCGACTGCCAAGAAATTAGTGCAAGACGTAGATGTGGACAGTGCCTTATTTGATTCTCTAACAACTTGTTCATGGATGTTTATTCAACCCTATTAATTCTGTATTGTTCACGCATGCTCCGTGCTAGATTAGCTTAGAGGACACTCAGGGGAAAGATGAAAACCAACTTTACACAAGTTGCAGCCCTTGATCAAACCACTGCCCACGCTATACCGATGGAATGTTTTCCCGTTTTCAAATATATCCCATGTATACAGCACCCCTGTCACTGGACAGTCCGTCCCATTACACACTTGGTGATGATTCAGTCCTATTGCCCCACGATTGCATGAGATTGAACAAGCACGGTCATCCCCATTGTAATCTACAGCGAGTGTACAGATACGTGATGCACCAAATCATCATCTCCTTCGTCGGGCTTCCATCGCAGCCTCTGCTCTCGTCAAGTACACGCAGCTGAAGAGGGGTACAACTGAACGGAACCAGGGCAATAGAATCGCCTCTACTTTGGGGCAGTAGTTAACCGTAACCGATCGAAGTGGAGAAGACATCCGTGTGGGAGGTGATGGCCCATCGCCGATCTTGTTCACGGAAGTGATGGCCTCTGGGTGCAACCGAGACTTGACTAAATCTCGTAATGCACCTCCTTTGAGTTTGACGCATCCCGAAAAATCCACCTCGCACAGGGATGAACACAACAACTGTCGCGTTGAACCTTCTTGCCCTCTTGCAGCTGCGAATGGGTCAACGCCGGCAAGCGCATAAACGACCTTGTTGATGTCAAAGTCGCTCTTCGTCACTTGAAGGATTCTGAGCTGTGAAAGTGTGGCCAGTATGGGGATAAGATGTTCTTCGTTGATGCAACATTGGATGAGACGGAGTTCTCCTAGGGGCGGGGCTGATGTATAACCACACGCCCAGGGGAGGGAAGAACTCCGGCGCCATGCAACCCATTGATAAGCAGCTCTGTAGGTATCGCCAATGCACCAGAGCTCGGCCATAACGTTGCACACGGCCACCAAAGCTGTGCGTTTGATTCGAAGGATTTCTAGATTGGGTGCTACGATCCTCGTGAAAACGTTCATGGCTTCTCTTGCATTGGAAAGATCCAAGCATTTGAGAGCGGGAAGATTAATGTGTTCACCCGCTTGAACGAGGTCTTCGAGAAGTACGTCTCCGCTGAACTCGACTTCCAATGTCTCCAGTGTAGTTGAATTTGATCTACAAGCGACAAAGACTGCGTCCAGAAGTGAGCGCGCGTCACGCACGCATCTAATTAATGATAGTGTCCGAAGTCCCTTTCTGGGGATGGCGAGAGGAACGTATGAGGATGCTGCGCCGATCAAGCTTAGGGTGTGAATAAAATGGCAGCAGAGGGGATTCCTCGCGTCAGGAGGTGCGGGGGAAGCAAGAGCGTCAGGTCGTTCCTCCAAAATATCCTTTGGTTCCCCCGTGTCTATCGTGTAAAGACGCGGAAACGTGGACGTCAGAGCGACTACGACTGCATCGGTCGCCCGATGAGTGTCGCCCGATTCAGAGTATACCGATAAATCCAGACATAGTTCCCTCAGACTCGATGGGAAAGCATTAGTCGACAAGAAGCAAGTGAAGCTAGAAAGTCTGATATCCACTTTCCACGTCAGGGATGTCGGCTGTAACAACGTTTCAGAGGGGATCGCTCTAAGTGTTTGGTACCACCTATCAAGGATGGCGATCGAATGAGACGAAGGCACTCGTTCCGTGATATCGAGGTGTTTGACGTAACGCGTTGCCGAATTCTTCGAAGTTCGAGCGGTCCATTCGGCAAGTTTGTTCAGAGGACGGGATCGTCCCAACGTCAAGGTTTGCCAAAGGCAACTTGTCTCGAACGCAACGTAACGCCAATGCCGACACACGCCTATAATAGCTACCCAAGACGGGCGAACGACAACGTTGTTAGAACGCGTTATATATATAGATATATATATAACACGAGACCCTTGTGAACCGGGGCAAAGAAACAAACCTATCAGTTCCCGACAACAAGGCTGATCCATACAAGCAAATGTCATCATCTCAGACAACACTTCGACTGGAAGCTTAGAAATCCAGCAATGATTCTTTCTATCATCCATTTTCTCTGCCGCTGCATTGATGTCTGCCAAAGTCTTCTGTACTGTTGCACAGCGGGCTGAGTCAGGGGGTAAACGCGCTAGGGCCATATCGATCATTTTTTTCGCTGCCTCCACACGTCCTAACAGCTTGAATAACGTGGCGGCACGGTAATATCCCTATTCGGTTACGCAACTGCACGTTAAGCGATGAGACGGGGGGAAGAGCAACGCCGAACTTTGTATGAGTCTGGACATAGGTCGATAACCATTTTTGCATCTTTGAGAGCGTCCGAAACGCGTCCAAGCTTCTGTAACGTTGCTGCTCGAGTGTCATAGACTATATGTTCGTTCTTCACCATGTCCAGTATCTTGTTAAAATAGCAAACAACAACAACAAATGGTTTTGAGTTTGGGATGCCATGATCGAAAAAAAAAAAAAAGGAATTTATTTACACGGTCGAAACGTGCCAATGCAACATCGTAATTCCCTCTCCTGAACTCAACTACACCTTGATCGAACGCTTTCTTCCATGACTCCATTACGGAGAGCTTGTGCGGCTGGTTGGAGAAGTGCTCTCAAGTAAGTAAAAAATCGGCGCGAATCGGCTAGTTCCGCTATGCATATCTATAATAGGAAATGCACAACTTTGCACATTTCAGGAAGAGAGTATGTATCTTCTTGGAAGACGAGGCGCTCGTCTCATCTGATCACTGGCATCACAAACACAAACACTTCTCTCTCTCTCTCTCACCCTCCTATTTTATCGGCCGACCCTACCCAATATGGATGTGCGCCGACAAGGTCTCACGGTACCCCGTCCAGTACAACCAAACACCCCCGACGCCAACAAACGAGAGGATTCCGTCACCTCAACCAGCCACCCTTATCGTGTTATTGTTCGAGTTTCAGAATGGCTGCACCGCCACTCATCAACGCGGCCGCCGTGGGGTTACAAAATAGACAACGTACTTCTTTTTATCCAGCATCTCCTCGATAGCTCTCTTTCCGGCTCATTGGCCTCTGGCGCAGCTTAATTTTTAAGTAATATCTGAAGCGCCCCACTAGTGTGATGAGCGACGCCCCATGATCCTGGTTTATAATTAGCCTCTCTCTCATTCAATGTGTGTATGTCCTCGGTTCTTGTCATCCTCTCTTTGCTGCGAGCCAATGTCATTCCCCTCTTGGCTACTGGATGATGGGCTCGCGTGGCTTAGTCATTGGTTCATGCGAAAGGGCAAAGCGTGCGTGCGCTTGGTATCTATTACTTACGCATGAATTTAGCAGAAGCTGAGGCAATCGCAGTACTACTCTCGCTGCATAGGCGCCCAAGGTTTCATGTTAGTCAGTTTGATCTAGACTTGCGGTTACATATCTACGTTTTCATATCACCAACTGTATGCAGGGATCAGAGCAGCGCGCATCTGTCCTGGCAATCAACCACTGAAACTTCACCCCAAAACAACATTTACTGGAGCGCCCAAAGAGCGGAAGCATAAGCGTAAGCGAGTTTGTTTCAGTCAGAGGATTTCGCGTATACTTCGACTAGACTCCGATCATTCTGATCACAGCATGTTGTCTTGTGTCCGTGATGGCAAAGGCCCCATATCCCGTAGCCGAGGGGAGTCGGCCCCCGCCCCCTTCGGCAACCATTTCCCGTTTTATCCGATAAGCGCTCTTCAGTACATAAGGTGAAACCCGATTTTAAGATTGCCGTTAAAATCGATGGTGTCGGTGTTCCGAAATACAGTGGCGCCGTGAGACAAAACTGATATTTGGAGTACCAGTAATCTTTACATTCACCCTTACAGAGATTGTCAAGTCCAACCCGTCCCTACGATTTCTCTTCCGCCAACAGCACATTGAGCGCTAGCTCTGATGCATTCTCTCGCGCACCCGCCCGGGTGATGTGTTCCGATGCAGAATAGAGCTTGTCGTCGACTAGCAGTCCAGATCAGTCATAAGGACGGTGGCTGGTGCGATGGGGACGTCCACACGAACCAAAAACCGAACACTTCCATTGAGATGAGCCAATCTGCCTGTCTTGCTGGGGTTTTGGTAAGTATACGAAGTGGGCTAGACAGATGTGGGGTCGACGACTCACTAGATGGAGTGACATGTTCATACGTTGTGCATGGAATCGCAATGAGTTGGCAAAAGGACCATCAGCCACAGATTGAGACTCTCGTCGATAATACTGCATCTTCACGAATGAGATTGCGATAAACCCAAGTATTTAAGCAAAAACCGCCGCCGCGCGGCGGGGGCTAAAATGGGAGGCCTCCGTGTTACCCCTATCCAGCAACGGGGATGGGGATGAGTTGAGTCGTACTGTATCATGCACGGTGCATGACCGTGCATATAATTCTGGTTGTGTGCACAGGAGGTGTGACCCGATGGGACGTCCAACCTCATGGGTCCCATCAGTGTCACACCCCCGCGGAAGTAACCCAGTTATTTCTGCAGCCGTGCTGAATGTGAGAGATGCAAAGCCATATTTTGATTTCCCTGAGGTATTTGGTATCCATGCAGCGAGACCCAAAGAGAGTCGCAACAAAACTTTCAAGGCGTCGCTTAAAACCAGGAGTATCAAGAGGCCTCCATCCATTGGATGGGGAGTTATCGGATGAGCCTCATATTTGTGAAAAACGTTTCTGCACGCGTTTTGTTTCTTCCCATCGCAACCGCGGCTTCAGAATGATGCAGTCTAAGATCCATCCCAAGGAGTTGAGAATATATATCTTCCGTCATGCCCGTACGGCTTACCATGGAGGCGGGGCCCGGACTGCAAGAAGCAGTGAGGGGGTGGACAAGCATTACTGGCGCCAGAGCGAACCCCCCCCCACCCCACCCCTTCCCCCACGCCTATCAATGAATGCACCCTTTTTAGGAAGCCTGAAGAGATGGTACATTCGGCGATCTGCCACACAGTGAAGCCTTCGTCTTGGGCTGACGTGAGGTATGTCGAGAAATAAGATCGCCTTCTGCATCTAGAAATGTCATTCCACTTGTCCTGTCCTTCACCCAACGCCGGTTCCACAATCGTTTCATTATACTGTGGTTCCATCGCCACGCGATTGGAAATCAGGGCCGAAGCTAGCGTGACGAGATTCCGTGTCGCACAAGCCACTCTTCGAACAAGTGTTTGAGCGTGGGAAAACGAGCCATTCACTCCTTCAAAAGCAGTCTTCTCTACATTACTTAGTCAATATTTCATCTACGCAGCCAAAGGGTCGTAGTGACGATGGGGTCATCATCCTCGGAAGAAATCATTAGCACTCGGTCTTTAGACCAGTTTCTGGTGTCCCAAGATCGTCTCATAAAACAGGCTTCAAAAGCACTCCCCCATTCCTTTGACAAATGCACGTACTCCCTTGGACATATTAAGCAGGCCGTATATTGGTGTAAGACTTGCAACGGGACATTCGGACTGTGCTCCGCTTGTAGCATCGCCTGCCATGGCAGTGAGTTACCCCACTGAGCGCTCACCCAGTCACATTGTCCGATGTTTCCACGCGCAACACCCTAGATCATGAACAGATAGAATTGTTTCCTAAAAGGAATTTCCGTTGCGATTGCCCTACATCAAGCTCCCCTATCAGCTGCATGCTTCATCGCCTTACGGAGGAGCCCAACGCCGAAAACCCATATGGGCAAAATTTCCGGGGGATATTTTGCCGATGTGGGAAGCCCTATGACCCTACTGCCGAGACAGAAACTATGCTCCAATGCCTCGTATGTGAGGTTCGTAGCTCTGTGCCCTTTGTTCGGACCGAGCCTCATTAGGGATCATGCAGGATTGGTATCATGAATCTTGCCTCAATCTACGAAAAACCGAAGCTCCGTCACTCGAGTCCAAGCAAGATGCAAATGTTTCTACAGCTCCTATGACAGACCTTGCCGAGGACTCCGATTCAGAAGGGGAACTTGAAGAAGAGGACGACCCTAACTTGCTCATCGCTCCTTCTTCCTATGAATCTCTGGTGTGCAGTGCTTGTGTTCTTGACAGTCCGTTCCTTTCATTGTACGCGGGGACTCTTGGTGTGCGCATGATAATACGGGGCGAGCATGATAACAGTTGGATAGTCATTGGGGGTGCCGACATCGACAGCCAGTTAGGGGACCAAGCAAGGCCCGACATTGGGGACTACACAGCACTTCAAGTGGAACCGTCGGGAGGGTCTCAAGCACCCCATCTTGCTAAGCGCGCACTCTCTCCGGATATCGAGAGGAATGGAGGTGAAGCGAAGCGTCAACGACGCGGGGCATCACCTCCTTCAGAATCCAAAAACTCTCCTGGTGGTTTGAAACCAGTCGGTTCTGTGTCGTGCTCACGTCCACCAGAAAACTCACTTGCCCAAGCCACAATTCACTGCCGAAAGACTCGGAAGCCGTTGACAGGTAGCTCTTCGCCATCAATCGAAGATTTAGGTGATTGCGACATTTTTCTAAGCGAGGGATTCCGATTACGCTGGTGTCGTTGTGCAGATGTGCGTGGTATGGCTACCGTTTCGAATCACGCCCTCACGTCTCTGTTGTTCAGTGTACATTGATGTTTGAATGGGAGAAGAATCATCCACGATACAGATTTCTATTTGAAGAGGAGCCCGACTTGTATGAACCACCCGAAGACCCAGATTCTGGTGAGCAGGGGGGTTATTTCTTCTGCCGGATGACCACTAAACGATGAGCACTTCCACTAGGGACATCTTTGGAGGAACTCGGTATGCGTGCTTTGGATAGGCTCCCTCGGGATAAAACGATCGATGGAATACAAGCGTATAATAACATGCGGTAAATAATGATGAAACGCCTTCTTTTTCTTTTTGCCACGCTTACGATGGACGACATTGATCTGATAGGGATGAACTCATTGAGTATCTCCGGCCATTTGCTGCAAGCGGTCGAGTGGTGGAAGAGAGTGATATGACAACGTTCTTCAAACAACAAAGAGCAAAATTGGCTACCGAAGATCATTAAAATATGCGTCGCGATCCAGCCGACCGTACCCGTCTGTTCGCAGAGTCGTACCCTAAACGGTGTTTCGTATTCTGTTCCTACGGAAGGGGGCAATGTGTCATCCAACGAGTCCCAACCTACGGGAGCCAAGGCACGGCGGTTTGATGCATCGATATTATTATACAATCGAATGATTCTCCATCAATGGCAGTTTTGGCCCTCTAGACAAGACGGCCGGGGGCTATAAGTCGCCCTCAAAAATCGAGCTTTCAATGCACGATGACATCAGGCGAAAGGCGTGCAAATAGTCACGTATCTCCCCGTGGTTTCCGAGTCTGAGGAGACCCACATCTTACGCGTCCCAATACTGGATCGTCGACGTTCGCAGCAAGTGACAAAAATTCATGTATCCACTTTGGATGTACTATTCCAAAGTTGCCAGTGAAACGATTTGTCGTATATATATGGCTCCTTACAGCGATAATTGGCACGGTGTTCGGCTGTCACGGGCCGTAGGAATTGGAGCGAAAGTGAAGCCCCCTTATGAATTCTCCTCTCAGAGAAGCCCGAGAAAGCCGTGCACCGAAGCTTCATGATGACCTGGCTGCACTTCATCTCGGGCGTGTGCACTGACCTGACATGGGGATGGAATAAGATTGTCTTCTGCAGCTAGCGACATAACGTTTTATCCTTATCTGTCCGCCCGCAATGATAAACAACAATACACAGAACGCAGCCTACTTTCATTCATGAACAGCCTGGAGCTCGCAGATTAAATATCAAGCAGACAACAGGTCCCGTTCTTGTGCTTTGTTTGCTACCCAGTCAACGCACCATCCAACCGATGGGAGGTAAGTAGTGATGATAGGATCGTCATTCTCGGAAGACATTATCAGCACATCAGAGATCATAGTAACATCCGCAAAGGAGAATTCGGCCGAGTCTGCTCTGCCCGTAGCATCGCCTGGCAGGAGGTTACTCCAAGCGCTCACCCGGTCACCTTGTCCGATGCTTACACGCAACCCCGGACAGTTTCTTAGTTTCCATTGCGATTGTCCTACATCAATCAAATGCACGACTCCAATGCATTACGGAAGATCCGAATGCGGAAAACCCTTATAGGCGATGTGGGAGGCCCTACGACCCTACTGTCGAAACGGAAATTATGCTCCAATGCTTCATATGTGACGTTCGGACCGAGCTTCATTGGTGATTGGTATCATGAACCTTGCCTAAATCTGAAGCCCTCACCAACTGAGTCAAAGCAGGATGCAAATCTTTCTATAGCGCTTTTCTGGGGACTCCGATTTAGATGGGGAAGAGGAGAACAACCCCAACTTAGCCCGCTGCTCAGCCTTCTATGGTGCAGTGCTTGCATTCTTGACAGTCCGTTCCGTTCATTGTGCGTGGGGACTTTGAGTGCGCACATGATGGCATGGGGCGAGCAGGACAACACTTGGATTGGCATTGGGGGTGCCAACATCGTCAGTTAATCAGAGGACTGAGCAGGGCCGGACATTGGTGACTGCACAGATCCTCGAATGGGATCATCTCCGGGTTCTCAGGTACAGCACCCTGCTAAGCGCCCACTCTCTTGATGTCGAAAGGAATGGGGGTGGCACTTCCTTCAGAATCCGAAAACCAACTGGATGGTTTGAAATCAGCGGGTTCTGCGTCTTGCTCACGTTTAGCAGTAAATCCACCTGCGTAAGCTGGAATTGACTGCCGAAAGGCTCGAAACCCGTTGACCGATAGCACTTTGCGACCAATCGAAGATCCAGGTGATCGTGATATCTTTCTAAGCGAGGTATTTCGATTGTGTTGGCGCCGTTCTGCAGTATAAATCACGTCCGCGGGTCGCTGTCGGTCAGTGTGATGCAATTTTCTTTTGAAGGGGAACCCGACTTTTATGAGCCGGTTCTGGCAAGGTGGAGGCTACCTCTTCAGCCAGACAACCGTTAAACAATAGGCACATCCACTAGGGGCACCTCGCGAGGAACATGCTTTGCACAGGCTTCTTTGCGACCAGACCATCGATGGGATGCAAGCGTATAATAACATGCGGCAGATGATGAAATGTCTGCCTTTTGGCCACGCTTCTCATGAATTGCGCTGATTTGCTGGGGATGGGTTCATTGAGTATATCCGACCGTCGGGACCCTCGGTGGGACGGTTTCAGGGTGATTGTTCGAAATTACACGCATCCGTGCACAACACCCGCGAATAGAACCTGGTGTTTGCCTGCCCTCCCCCGCCTGCTTATTATCCTTGTAGCCTTGCCTGGCCCAATAACCTGACGACCAGTTTTTTTCGTTTCTACGTCTACCGTCCCCTTACCCTCTCATCACGATTCAGGCAGTGTCGCCAACGGCCCGTTTCCCCGCTATTCACCCATTTTTAATTTTACCCGATTCCCCGTCTCCTTCTACTTTGTGTAGTAGAGGCTGGGATCCTGCCACCGTATCCTCTAATACATCCATGGTTGTGCAACAACAGCCCTTCCTAATTTGAATATATACAATCAAGCGACTTTGGGAACTGACTGCGTCGGTGGGGCCGTTAGTGATTGGTGATGGCAATTCAGAGTCCAGATCGATTCATAATAATATTATAATAGTGGCTATATATAAACAAGCACGGAGGCAACAGGCACCTGTCATCGAAACAAACACAAACCGCTGGCATGTCCAAAACGAATCAATCCGCGGTGGATAAGGTTGGTGGTATCCCACAAGGATGATTGACAAGGAGAATTTGACTTGAGTCTGGCAGTAAGTTTTCTTTTTTTTTTGATTCCGGTTAGCCTGCTGGGACCTGTTTTGCGCGGCTCCTGCCACCTCAAACTCAGCCTATCTGCTTTTTTCCTGTCTCGTATAGCCTACCCTTCGTGTTTAACCTTGCCAGTGGAGAGGTTCTTGAATGTCCGAATCCAAGTGCCACGCCCGATCTCAACGGCCTCGCGATCCAACTGGCCCGCTTCTGGATGAGAAGGATGGCCAAGTAACACCTAAACGTATTATCTGGGGTCACAGCCTTGATGACTTTTTTCGCGTTGCTCATATCGAGGGGCGGGGTCTCACCACAATCTGGTCACGAAGTATGCAATGGTTTGGAGAGAACTACGGAGATGAACGGCACAGGTTCGGGCCTCCTCCGAGAAGAAGGAAACCTTGGCCACTTCTGAAACTCCCCAAGCGAATGAAGGTGGAGAGCAGGAAATATGGTTTCGGGGTCGTCGATCCGGGATCGGATTACGATAGTGATGATTACAATAAGTGCCATGTGGTCCTTATTGACGTTGACTCCGATGACGAGGGGGAAACTAGGCCACTCTCTGGCAGAGATGCATTTAGGAAACTTCGTACGTTGACGTATCGATGCTGTATTGATGTGGACCGGGGCTTACATTCATGTACATTTCGCTACCAAGTCGAAAAGGGATTTAACAAGGACTGGCCACCAGGTCGAAGCGAAGTCATCCAAAAGGGCTTAATAGAGAAGATTTCTGTAGAGGATGGACCGAAGCTTGTTGTTTTCAGGGGGGGTATTAATGAAGCTTATTTTCTCGCTAAACTGGACTGCCCTCTTTGTGAAAGCGTTGGAGCACACCTCTGCTCCGAGTGCACCGTTGACCCTCCTCCAGTTATTTATGTTTCCCACTTCCATGCACCAAACCCGTTGTTCATTAAAGACGACTCGACGGCCTGGTTCGCCGATCCTGATATGCCGTGCATATTTAGTGGAGCTCCCATGCGTAGATAAAACCCGCTTTCAATTAATGCCCGTTCACCGACGTTTTCTTTAGGGGTCCTTATCACAATTCAAAAACAATGGGACGTTATCAAGGCACCCTCGGAGGATAGTTCACTCACAGGCGCATTAGGAATCAAGATTCTTAGATTCCCTGGCGGACACCCGACGTTTTACATCATAGATACGGCATGTAAGGCATGCGAAAGGGGGAACTTTTCTGACTGTGAAGTGTGTGGGAAGGACACCACTGAACCTATCTTTTCCAAGTTTGGTGGAAAGTGGGGGCCTTGGTTTGCGGGTGTGATTGGAAATGGAGTGGGAAGGTTGAATGACTTAGGTCTGCCGAACAGCCTCTCGAATTCAGTAGAGCTTCGCATTAACTCTTCTTTCAGGAGACCTGAAAGAGGGAAGTGACGATCCAAAACCTGATGATGCCCTTGTAGCCATGTCTCCAGTGGATTCACCCGAGCCGCCGCTAAAAAGCCCTCCAGGCACTGTCTTGCCGGAATGCACACCAGCAACTGAGGAGAATGGACCAGTCCGATCTCGCCCCAGCCTTGACGAGGAACCACCCGTCGATTTCGTAGGCGATTGCCCAGTCCCTGGAGATGAAAAAGACGAGGAGAGTGACATAGATCCAGCAACCAACATATGGAATTTGCAGCTATCCAAGATGCCGCCTTCCCTGGAGGAAAACATCCCGCCCGAATTCCTTCCTGATATACTAATGGTGGAAGACTGTGGAAACGCCATTCGTTATCACTCGTCGCATGGTGCGCCTATCTCTGACGAGTACTCCTCGGTCCTTGATAAGCCGGTCAAATTCAGACGAGTTTTGCCCTCTCCGGCAGACAATCCCAAGCAAGGATCGCCTTCCTTGACGCAAGCGTTGCGCGTGGCAAAACTGGACCTCTCTTTAAACTATAAGCTGGGGAGGGGGAACCATTCTGACGTTTATCTCGTCTCGCTCAGGTTACCTCATCCACTTTCTGCTCGCACTCCTACTGGAGAAGTCTCAGTTGCTTGCAAAATGGCGCATGATAGGTCTTACAAGGCGCGGCAACTCCTTGAGAACGAAGCGGGGATATACGCTTCGTTCCCTGACGCTATGTCCGAAGGAGGCAATGGCTATGTTCTCTTCACTCCCAAATTCAAGAGCCCTGTCCCTTCTGGTCCTGTGGTCCCGAAATTCTATGGTTACTACAAGCCCGTCTACGATCCAGAGTACTATGCTGAGGAAGAGAAGGATCTTGACCAAGTGCTCAAGGAATGCATGAAAGCATTCATCGAAGGTCTGAGCCCTATTCTCTTGATGGAGCACTGTGGAAGTCAGATCAGTCCATGGCGGATGAGTAATGATAATCGGCAAGTCTATATTTTATTCATCAAAGTTAAGAACTGCCTTGACAAGTAACCAACAGGAACAAGTACATGTCGCTCTTACATCGAATGCATCTTGCAGATTATACACACAAGTCCGCTCATGTTCGTAATGTCGTAGTCCAACCTGGTCCGCTTACACTCCCCCCGCGGAGTCGTAGTCTGAAAGATCCTTCGTTCCGCTTGGTCGACTTTGGTCGCACAATGCACCTATCTCACTATAACAAGCAGCGGGGAGCGCCTGCAGGCAGGAAAGGCGACTATAATTGGGACTGTGGGCAAGATGATGAGTTCCGTGAGCTACAAGGTGAAGTGTGGTGAATAAAAATAAAAAATGCTTCATCTTGTTTGGCGCTTTTCCAGGCACCTTTTGCTATCGATCCACTTTTGCAGAATGTCCTAATATGGCGGAAGTACAAGTCGGTGGCTCTTGCTTCTGTTCACGACTCAGTAAATCTCTTAGTTGTCTCTCAACCACGGTTTTCACCTTTTCTTGTAAAGTGAGACCGCCTAAAGATTTGTTGTGTGACTATTGTGCCATCTAACTCATCCTCATCCTTACTGGAGCGGTTCCGCCTCCGCCACAATCCGTCCTGTACATTTCCTTCTTGTCTCAAACGCAATAAAACCTGCCTTCAGTTTGAGAGTTTTGTGTAGCCAACATGCCTGTGTGGATGCACGCGTTGGGAAGATGTGGAGAGGAAGACATGTCCGCAAACCATCTAACGATGTGAAAGCGCAAAAGGCTGAATGCGCAAGAGTGGAAGCCGGCAGTATCCGTCATATTCCTACAACTATCCAGAAATTAATTCACGAGGTCGACTTATCGCGCCATCAATAACCGAGTTCTCTTCCCGCGCCCTCCCGCTTGCTCGTTATCACACCCGCCCCTTCATCCGCTGTGTTGTACTAGTGCACAGACCGTGGGACTATCCGCATCATCGGCTGCCCTACACCATCTCTCCCCATCCGCTCGTGAATAGACCTCAGTGTTTTTTTTTTCCTGCCCTTTCTCACCTAGTCATTGTCGTACTACGCACCCACCAAACCGTTTGCACCCCCAACCCTGTAATCTGATGACCGGATTTCCACGCTTATGTTGTCCACGATCCGCTTCCTCTCTTGTTCGTGCCATGGTTGCTTTCCGCTTTCCTCTTTCGCTACCTGCATCGGTTTTCGAGTTGTCTAATGCCTTTGTACTCCATCACCTTTGTATTGACACATCACAGTTGTCACAACGACCGTTCAACCCAGGGTTGGACTTGACACTATCAGATCACCTGGTCAAATGGTCAAGTGACAGACACTGAGGGGCGTTATCAGGTTTAGTCTCGAGTTTTCAGCTGCTACCACTCAATCACCAGATCTGGTCCATCTGCCCCTCGTGTTTAGTCTTCCCAGTGAAGACTCTCTCGGATGCGAGAATCCAAGCGTAATGTCCGATTGAAGTGGCTTCGCGATCATGGTAGTCCGCCCCTGGATAAGACGAAAGGAGTTCCCTGTGGCCAACGACCGCCTAATCAATTGATCTGGGGCCATAGTCTTGATGACTTTTTTTGGATTGCTCGTATTGAAGGGATCCTGCCTGGAGCTGCATTTGACGGGGTTGAATGCTTGACAATCTGGTCGCGAAGTATGGTACGAGAATCCAAAGACTCGGGCTACAATGATGACGAGCACAAGAGGGAGCCTCCCCCAAGAAAAAGGAAACCTTGGCCCCTTCTCAAACTTCCTAAGCGAATGAATGCGGAGAGTAGGAAATATGGTTTCGGAGTCATCGATCCGGGATCGGATTATGATAGTGACGATGATGAGTTCAAGTGCCATACGGCCCTTATCGACGTTGACTCCGACAACGAGGAGAAAACTAGGTTACTCTCTAACAGAGATGCGTTCAGGAAACTTCGTACGTATATGTATCGATGTTGATCGGGGCTCACATTCATATCCATTTCATTCCTAAGTCGAAAAGGGATTTAACAAGGACTGGCCACCGGGTCGGGGCCAACTCATCCAGGAGGCTGTAAAGAAGGGGAAGATTTCTATAGATGATGGGCCGAAGCTTCTCGTTTTCAAAGACATCAGTGAGGCTTATTTCCTTGCCAGACGTGACTGCGTTACGTGTTGGAACGTCGGGACGCTCCGTTGTCCCGACTGCACTGTTAATCCTCCTCCAGTTGTCTATGTTGTCCGCTACAATACACGAAAACCGAAGTTCATTGAAGACAGAAAAGGAAAATCGACGGCATGGTTCGCTGATCCCAATATGCTGTGCATATTCAGTATAGCCTTCATGCAACGCAGGTAAAATTCGCCTCTAATTGAAGACTGTCCACTGATTTATGTCCGTTTGTCTGTCCAGGACGAATTCTCCGAGATCAATATTACCGGGACCTTCTCAACCCGTGCGTGCAGGACGGTTCGCTCACAGGAGTATTCGGGACCAAAATCCTTCATTTTTCTGACGGGGAAACGTTTTATGTGATAAATTCGCAATGTAAGACTTGCGATGGGAAAGGCTTTCCCGGCTGTGGAGTATGTGGGAAGGACACTGCTGAACCTATCTTTGCCGAGTTCGATAAGAATGGGAAGGTTTGGTTTGCGGATGCGAACGGAAATAGGGTAAGAGGATTGGATGACCCAGGTCCGTTCAACGTCTTCTCTAGCTCTGTTAGAGTTTCACACCAACCGGAATGTCTCTTCCTTATACAGACCCGAAAGCGGGAAGTGACGACTCGAACGGTGATCATGATTCGAGTATTGATGGCGATCCGAACGATGGTGAAGATCCGATCGGAAGTAATGATTCGAACGTTGGTGACGATTCAAATGCCGGTGACGATCCAAACGTTGGTGACGGTCCAGGCGTTGGCGATGGTCCAGGCGTTGGCGATGGTCCGAACGTTGATGACACTCCTGTAGCCACGCCCCCAGTGAATGCCCTTGAGCCGCAGCTAAGGGGTCTTCCGAAAACTGTCCTACTGGAAAACACACCGGCAACTGGAATGAATGAAACAATTCGATCTCATGCCAAACCCGACGAGTCACTACATGCCAATACAGACAACATCCCAACCGCCGCAGATGAAAAGAGCGAGGAGAGCGACACAGATCCAGCAGTCACAAGCAAAGGGAGTCCATTGCTGATCAAACCTCCTAATATGCCACCTTCCCTGGAGGAAGAAATCCCACCAGAATTCTTTCCCGATATACTAATTGTGAAAGATGCGGCTGGAGGCATCATTCGTTACCACTCGTCAGATCATGCGCCTGTCGCTGATGAGTACTCTTCTATACTTGATAAGCCAGTCAAATTCAGACGAGTTCTGCCCTCTCCGACAGACGATCCCAAGAAACGATCGTCTTCCTTGGCACAAACGTTGCGCGTGGCGGAGCTGCGCCTCTCTCTTAGCTATAAGCTGGGAAGTGGGAGCCATTCTGACGTCTACCTCGTTCCACTCAGATTACCCCGTCCACTTTCTGCTCGAACTCCCACTGGAGAAGTTTCCGTTGCTTGCAAAATGGCACATGATAGGTCCTGTGAGGCACGGGAGCTTCTTGAGAATGAAGCGAGTGTATACGCTTCGCTCCCTAGCCACATGTTCGAAGAGTGGAATGGATATAATCTCCTTACGCCTGAATTCAGGGACCCTGTCCCTGTTGGTCCCGTGGCTCCGAAATTCTTCGGTTACTATAAGGCCACCTACGACCCAGAGTACTATGCTGAGGAAGAGAAGGATCTCGATGAAGAATCCAGGGAAAGCACGAAAGCGTTCATCGAAGGACTGAGCCCTATTCTCTTGATGGAGCACTGTGGGGAACAGATTGATCCAGACGAGATGCCTGAGGATGATCGGTGAATCTCTATCCCACCCGTCCGAGTTAAGAACGATGTTGACAAGTAATCAATAGGGACGAATGCATGTCTCTTTTATACCGAATGCACCTCGAGAACTATAAGCACGGTTCTGCTCATGTTCGTAACATTGTAGTCCAACCTGGACCGCTTACACTCCCGCCATGGCGTCGCAGTCTGAAACACCCTTCGTTCCGCATGGTTGATTTTGGTCGCACAATGTATTTCTCTGATTATATCGAGGAGTGTAGGAGATCGAGGCCAAGGGATGAAAATTGTTATTTTGCGCCACGCGAGGAGAGGAAGACGCTGAAACGGGAATTGCTATACGAGGAATGGTGGGAGTAACAAAAAACTCCCTATCTCGTTTGCTATTGGCCCACCCTGCAAACGTTCCAATCCGACGAAGGCCCAAAATTGCTGGTTCTGCACGACCCACTCAATTTCTGCAACGAGCTAACGCGGCACTCACATGTGCTATCAACACCCGAGTTCTCTCTCCCTTGCGCATTATTACACCCACTGCTTGATCCGCCGTACTGTTCATGTGCTAGTAGCATCATAAGCCGCCATGCCCGACCGTACTAGTGGGTGCAATTATCCCACTGCCATATCAGTACGTGCACAGCTGCTGCTCGTCTCTCCTGGTATTTGTTTCTTTTTTCCTACTTGCTCATTGTCGTACCGCGCGCGCACCTGCCACCGGTACCCACCAACTCCTTTGCAACCTCCGTCCCAGTGGCCCTGATGACCAGTTGCCTACATTTTGACGCTTTTGTCGTCCACCATCAACTTCCTCTTTCTTGTGATGTAGTGTTGTCTGGTTTACTTTTCCTCTTTCCCTGCATGATCAGTTTTCGATTTGTCCAATGTCCTCGTACTCTATCAACATTGTTTGTCCTCGTGTTGATACATCACAGTTGGTCGTCTGCACACGACCGTTTCCCATGTCACTCGATCTTCAGCCACCCAATATCCTTCATATGTATACACACATGCAAAGTCATGCAATTGACATCTTTTCGAAAACTGACTACAGTCATTTGCTTCCGAAATGCACACTTTTCAGGCTTAGCACCTAGATAAGAATTTCGTATGTATAAAAAATTAATAAAAATTACTCAGGGAAAGACCGTCATCTCATCTCTGTGCAGGCAAATTTTGGGAAGAAAATATGGAGTTTCCATGGCGTTATAATGAATCTTCCAAGGGGGATGATTTTGAGGCATGACCTCTGAAGTGCACAGGTGTGGAAAAGGCCATTGCCCAAGTTGCTGATGTGTGCTATCATTGCTAATTATTGATCAGGCATATGGAACCACTGTACACACTGAATTGGGCCCCACATCTTGTTATTGTGCTTCCATGACCCACTTTCTGTTTTTATATGCTGCACTATGGTTGCTGTGACTTTATGCTGCATGTAGTGCCCATTTCAGATCAAATATGCTCAAAAAAGTATTTATCCACTCCCATTGGCACTTGTTCTCCTGTCCTTCTTCAACAATGCCACAAGTGGGGCTCAAGTACACTGTATCATGGATCAATTGAATTGTTAATTTGCTAAAAATGCATATTTCAGTGTTTCCTGAAATAACCATGAAGCCAATGTAGTTAATATTCAGCATCTGTGAAGGCATTATCTAGTGGAATGTTATGCAAAAAAAATGGAGTGAAATGGCCCAGTTGTGGTTGAGAAATTGCCAGTGTGTACATCAGAGGTGTGTGCATTTCAGAGGAAAATGACTGTATTTATACTGGCGGCGTGATGCATGAATCCAAAGTCCACAAATTTACAGTGCTAGCCACTGCCCATGCAGAGAAGGAAACGTGGAAAAACAAAAAGCCGGGGCTTCGAGGTGACAAATACTCACAAACTATTGGCATGTCCAATCGAAAGGTCAATCAGTGTCAGTGAATGTGGCATTTCTGTTTCGGCTTGTCGGTGGGGAGGCAAACTCGACCCAGCTGTGGATGCGAATGTTAGAAGATAACCCCTTTTGGATTACATACAATTCAAATATCAATTAGTTTAATCCAATTCGATCAACTCAATACAAATAACCAGTCACATGCAACAGGATCAAGAACACATTCACTGCGTTTAGAGTAAAATTATCCTGTGTACAATTCCCGTGCTAAATAATGCAGAATCAGTATTATCCTGAGCTGTCCCCTGAGAAATCCCAGGCCCCTGAGCAGGTGCGGGTTCAACTTACGAGACGTGCAAAATCACAGCTGAGTATTTGCCTGGATATAACAGAGCTGTGCACGTGCCTGCCATATCTCTGTTCTGTTCCGTCGTTTCTGCAGTATTCCTGCCCTATCCTGGACCAAGCGCTGCCGCTTTATGGCGAAATTAGTTGATGTCGACTTGTCTTGTTCACAAGTCCCTTTTATTCAGAGGATTTCTTCGACTGAGTCTACATTTGACATTTGACGAGGCTCGTCGATGACAGGAGGACGATCAACACTGTTTCATCGTGCAAATGACTCTCTTTCAAAACCAAACAACCTTATTGTGCGCACTAGTGATGTTGTTGATGCGTGTCGGTAACTCATGCTGATGGATACTGCTGCAGCACTCCATACTTGCCACGAACAGATCATTCCATGATAGGGAAGGGGTTAGCATATCTGAATATCAATACAATGGACATCTGGTAAGCACACGAAAGATAGTAAGTATTATGGATTTAACGTTGGTTTTAATCTTCATAACTTCAAGGGAGATGGATGCTCATGTGCCGATCTCCCAGTGGGCTGGAAACGAGATGTTCTCAGTATCTGTCAGTCTACCGGACAGTGCCTGAAAGATAGTATTGTCATAAAATCATGCAAGACGAAATTCCTCTATCCTCAGGTACGTCGATGGATTAATATTGTTCTCGAGTTCGAAGGAATGAAGTAGTTTGTTGTAGGCACCGAAGCCCATCTTTGCAGTCCACTTCAAATCTTTCTTTGAGCCGCTGCCTCTTTGTGATGGTGTTCTACACATCAGTCAACGCATGAGTCCGGAATTAGTTCATCAGCGCTGGCAAGGTACCTCAGAGGTGGATGCGCCTTTGTGGGTTTCTGAGGGTTGGTGGATCTTAGCAAACGACGGTGCTGGGTCTCACAAGGAGATGGTCAATTTTGAGGTCGTTCCGCGTGCAATTGGACTCCGTATGGCACGCGAAAGTTCTGAATATGGCGGGTACCCCATCGGAGGTTGGGCAACTATATCTTACAACATACTGGTCAGTATACAAATATATTGGGTCATGCTGACATGGCGCTGATGTAAAACTGTCCCCATTTCCAGATGGACGGCTTGATTCAAGCTCTCCGAGACTATCTTACCAAGTACCTTACAGCCGTGCAGACTAACCCTGCCTACCGCCTTCAAGTCGACCTCCCTAGGGACCAGCACGTCCCTGTCTCAGATCCCTCAGGCCCGTGGGACAATCTCGAAATGATGCTATTGGGCTCGCGCATGGCATGTCTGGATCCCAAGCATGATGTACTGAGCGATGCTGGAGCATTCATCAAGGGGATGAGCCTTAGTTTAAAGTTTGAGGCGATGTTTTCAAGTGCTCGCGCATCTCTACCTGGTCCATCTCGAGCACATTAGTTCATAGAATTTTTGGATGTACGTTCTTCAACACCGACTGAAGTGCTTGTCGCACTTTGGAATTTGATGCAAATGTATCGGAGACATAATTTGATCATCTTGGAACCGTCAAGGCATACATTACATGTAGGTAAGGACCACATCAGCTCTGAATTGATGCCAAAACTTCGAGAAATGCTTGTCACATCGAAATGGTTTTCGGATACTGCCGAGCCCCTTCATCTCCACAATCGATCTCCCCCCACGTCTTCACTGTCGACAGATCTCACTCACACGACTAAGCAACCCATGGGCACAAGTCTGTAATGCCCATAAGTAAGGTAGCTGGCTATTTTGTGCTGAAGAATCTGATATATGTAAGTTTCAAAACTTTAGCGGTGTCACTGCAGCAGATGTGGGATCGAGGGCAAGGTGCTCCACGTCAAGACGTGGAATGACCATCTGAATGCTGAAAGGCGAAAGATTAGCCATCAACGCTACTCGGATGTCTTAACAGTGTCTGCATCTGGCTCACTGATGACGGCTGACTCGCCGATGACAACTGGCCCACCGATGTCAGCTTCTGGCTCAAATACTGATGATACCGAAATGATGTTCAACGAGTTCGGAAGTGGCTTATTTCCCCAGCAACCTGAATCTAACAATTCAGAGCCAGATGTATTTCTGGTGCCGCCCTTACCCGGATTTGTGAATGACCACAACGATAACTTATCTCTGGAATTCGAGGCCATACAGCCTGGCAATGATGACTCGGCCGAAGATGACGATGGGTTCCAAACACCCAGCGACAAGGAGTCTACTTCCAGTGGCGTTGACATCGATTCTGGATCTGCACCTCTAGACGAGGCCACCCTTCAGGCTGGGTCTTCTACCGTCCCTTCTCCCATACCTTTGATCCACTCTATCTCTTGGTCGGGTGGTGTGGATGAGAATTCCCCAGACCCTTTCTCATCCCATGCTGACACATGGCCCCGGACATCCTATTCCACAACTCATTATTTAGCACCCATTCGAATTCTCTACCTTTTGGCCATCTGGCTCCATTCCTACCACCATGTCCCATTCCGAATCATAGGGGCCATTTTGTCCATAGTTCAACTTATCCTCAGCGCTGCAAACTTTCATCTGGATCCATCTACAGTCTCCGCCACGACCTTAACGACTGTCCACTCGCACATGTCTGTTGAACCTTCCTTTCAAGTTCTCCCAATATGTCCTGCATGCCAGGAAGTCTACCCTGAGCTTGAAACTACACCGGCACTTTGTACCAAATGTGAGCATAACAACAGGACTATCCCCCTGTTCGAAAATGATGAAAATACACACACGAAAGAGAGGAGCGCAAAGGGACGTGAGCCAAAAATCCGCTTTGCCTTCAAATCCGTCAGCGAACAGCTTCGTGAGTTATTGCAGGAACCTGGGATGGAGGATCTCCTTGATCGGTGGCGTACATTACCTGACCGGCATCCGGAGCTGGGTATATATCAAGATATCTTCGATGGCCGTGTTGCCCACTCAATTCTGGGCCATGATGGGTCCCCTTTCTTTCGCAATGAACCTGAAGATCATGAGATGGGTCCTAATGGAGAGCTCCGTATTGGTCTCACACTTGGTACTGACTGGCAAGTATTCCCCTTTCATCACGGTTGAGTTGGACCAAAACAAACATCTTAGGTTCTCGTATCGTCGATCTCAGCAGTCTGCATCGCATTCATCAGGGCCAATTTCGCTATGT